GGGGCCAGGGAGAAGCCACCTTGTCCTTCAGCCCTCCTGGGGTTTCCCTCCCAAGCCTGGGCTCCCAGGCGCCTGAGAGATGTCTCCCTTGCAGCTGGTGAGCCGAGGCTGTGAAAGCCGGGAGCTGGCCCTGCCCCGCGATGGCCAGGGCCGGCTGGGCTTTGAGGCAGACGATGAGGGCTTCGTGAACCATGTGGAGCGGTTCACTTTTGCCGAGACTGCTGGGCTGAGGCCTGGGGCTCGACTCTTGAGGATCTGCGGCCGCCCCCTCCCGCGGCTGGGTCCTGGGGCTGCTGCCGCCCTCTTGCGCTCGGCCCCCAAAGTCTGTGTCACCTTCCTGCTTCCTGACGAGAGTGGCCGGCCCCGAAGGTCAGAGCACCGCAGAGCCCCCTGCCCAGACCCCTCTGTCGTCAGTCCCAGACTGGGCCTGGAAATCCCACATCAGCCACATCTTTGGAGCCTGAAGGCTTTTCAGTGTCTGAGTTGTCTTCCCTGGGGGAGGAAGGGCGGGCACCCCTAGAGCCTATGCCATGGTGGAGTTAGCTTATACCCAGAGGAGACCAAGGCTCTATGGGAACCCCCCGACAAGGGCCTGGGCAGTGAGGAAGGGGGTGGGGGCTGAAGGGGATCCGAGGCTTTGAGTTAGGTCTCCAGCTCAGGCAGGCCCTGGATGTAAGGCCTCTGCTGTCTGCTTTGTGTCCCTGGGCCAGGAAGCTCCCTGGCCTCAGTTTCCTCATCTGTGTACAGCTGCCTGCATCCCCTTCCTCTCCTCTCCTTTCTCCCCACAGGAGTTTTTCGGAGCTCTATGAGATGTCGCTGCAGGAGCCTAGTCGGCGGGGGATCCCAGGGCCAGGGCCTGAGGGGTCCCCGGGGGCAGGTCTGCGCCCAGCCACAGTTCAGATGCTGCATATGCTGCACCTGCAGGACGGCTCCCCAGTGCCCGGCCCCCCTCCAGGTCTCCCTGAGGAGAGGACCGAGTTTCTGCACAGTCAGAGCGATCCGTCTCCCCAAAGGTCAGAATCAGCTCTTTGCCGAGCGCCCCCAGCCTCCCTCATCCTGTCCCCCATCTCTCTCAGTCCTGGGCTCTGGGCTCTGTCTCTCCTCCTCATCCCCAGTGCAGGGCGGCAGGAGATGCGTCTCTTCCCCCGCCCCTCACCTTCCCCTCACTGCCTCCCCAGCTCCCCGTCTGATGGGGCCCCGGTCTTGCCAGATGCCACCCCAGACCTCCTCTTGGTGGCCACCCCTAAGCCCCTCCAACCTGGCCAGGCTGGGGGTGGGACTTCAGACCAGGTAAGAACCAGCCCGGCAGCCCAGGGCAACCTCCTCAGAGCCACCTGGGAGATGCGGGGGGCGAGCCGGGCATCCGTGCCCTCACCACGCACCCTGACTCAGGCTCTCCCCGACACTGCTGTGGGACAAGAGGCCGTAGAGAACCCAGCCCCGCTGCCAAGAGAGCTCAGTGACTCCTTCCTGCCCCGGACCCTCTCCCTGAGGAATTCCATAAGCAAGAGTAAGTCTCCCTGCTGCCCTGCATGTGGGGTGGAGGGCATCACCCTGGGCTGGGTGGCAGGTGGGAGAGCCTGGCCCATCACCTGCCTCATCTCCCCCTCAGTACTGTCTGAGGCTGGAAGCGAACCCCTCGAAGAGGAGTGGAAATCCATCTCGGAGATTGCCTCTACCTGTAACAGCATCCTGGAAGCACTGTCCCGGGAGGGTGAGCCCTGCGGGCCTGGCGTGCAGGGCGGTGAGCGGTGGGGAGTCCAGCCTGCAGCACATAATGGGGGACCCCGCTATAGAAGTAGGAGCCCAGTGGCGAGTCTTGGCTCAGCGGCTGTGCAGCCCGGGTCCCCCTCCCTTCTGCTTCCTTACCCTTTCCTTGCTCATCTGTACAATGGGGCTGTATGGGGTGGGTGTGGAAGGGAAGGAGCCTTGACGTGCTGGGGTCCTTACAGGCCAGCAGCTGCCAGAGAGTGGAGATCCCAGGGAAGTCACCAAAGCTGAGCCCAAGTAAGGATCCTCTCCTAGCCCAGGACTGAGGCTCCCTGAAAGGAACCATGGCAGGGGAGGGGGGAGCCCTGCCCTCTCCAGCTGGTCTTGCCCAAGGCCACCCCCCAGGAGGGGATTCGGCCCCTGACACCCGGGTCTGGGGAGCTCGTTCGCTGCTGGGGCAGCCAAGGACAGCTGGAAGGAGGTGGGAGAAGGGCTGGAAAGGTGCCTCGAGGCGGGTGAGCTGTCTGTGGGCCCAGCCCACCGTCTGCGGGCTTCTCAGCTGCCTTCCTTGCCCACAGCCCATCTTCTGGAAGCTTGTCTGAGAAGGTCTCCCACCTGGAGACCATGCTGAAGAAGCTCCAGGATGACCTGCAGAAGGTGAGGAGGAGGGAAGGAGGACTGGCGGGGGGGGGGGGGGGGGGGGGATGAGGCGCGGGGGGGGGGGGGGTGGGGGAGGTCTGGCAGCTCCCTCCATGCTGCTCCTCGCTCCAGGAGAAGGCTGACAAGGCAGCCCTGCAGGAAGAGGTTCGCAATCTTCGGCATAATAACCGGCGCCTCCAGGCCGAGTCCCAGAGTGCCGCTGCCCGCCTGCTCAGGGCCTCCCAGCAGCTGGGAACCCCGGGCCCCTGACCCCCACACCCCTGCCCGGCAGAAGTCACAGCACCCCGGGTCCCCTCCCGCCTCCACCTGCCTCCCCACCAGCATGGAGGGCCGCTCCAGACGGACAGTCCGTCCCCACGCCACGGAGGGCCACTCCAGCTGGACAGTCCATCCCCACCGCCGCAGAGGGCGGCTCCAGATGTCTCCACCACCACGGAGGGCCGCTCCAGCCAGACAGTCCATCCCCACCAGCACGGAGGGCCGCTGCAGCTGGACGGTCCCTCTCCATCTGGCATGAGAGGGGAGAGGATGTACCCTGCTGCCCTCCCCACAAGCCTCAGGGGCTTTTTGGAATGGGAGCAATCCCTTGTGTACTTTGAGGTAAAAGCACCTCCTCCCCAAATCTCCTGGCCCTTCTCAGGAACCTCAGGAACCTGGCTTCTTCACCCCCTCTGTAAATATTGTTTGGCAAAGGCGTCCTTGGCATGAAAAAGTAAAGAATGTACATGAGACAAGTAGCAGTGGATGAGGGAGAGGGAGAGAGGAGCCAGGAGAGGAGGGGGAGGGTGGACAGGGAGGAACGTCTGCTCTGGGATTCTTTCTTCTTTCTTCAGCACAGGAAGATGGGCGGGGGTGGGATGAAAGGGCAGGGGCTTCCAAGCTCCATGCAGAAGCCCCTGCTGGTCGCAGGCTGGTCACCTGCCTCCATCCCAGAGACCCGGGGCCCTTCGTGTCAGGACAGGACCACCGCCTCTGCCTCTGAGGGGCCTGCCCTAGCCAGGGCAGGATGGATGCAAGTCCAGGGCGTGGAGAAGAGGGCTCTGGAAAAGGCCACGGGTTGGGAAGGATCACAGGAACGTCCGTTTGGAGCCAGAAGGATCTTCAGGCCCAGCCCCTGCTTTTCTAGAGGCAGAAGCAGGTCCAGAGAGGTCGAGACTGGTACAGCATCGAGGTTATGTGAGCTAAGAGTCAGGGTCAAGATCTGAACCCATGTCTTAACTCCAAAGCTGGCTTTCCCCCGTGGCTGGCCCAGGCCCTGAGGATACATGGGTGGGGAGCACAGAGAGGGCGAGGCTGGCAGGATGCCTGTGGAGAAGAACCCCAGGCTCTGCCCAGCCCTGTGAGGGAGAGATTGGGCAGCCGTCCCCTTGCCGCTCGTCACCCAGAAGGTTCTGGCTTCCTTCCCTCGCCAGGACCTCTGCAGGTTCCTCACTCACTCTTCTGTTCTAGTGTGGGCGCCGCTCCCAGCAGGTGCCCTAGAAACCACACTGCTCCCTGCCCCCCAGCATCATCCTGGGTCTCCTTCTACTTCAGTGGTCTGGCTCTGCTGCGGATTGCCTCCCACGGCATCCCCTCGAAAGGAGCTCTCACCATTGACAGCATTTGTGTAAATATTTCTGGTCCAGGGTTATAGGCTCAGCCTGACCCCTCTGGGGGCAGCTCGGCCCCCACTGCACAGCCCGCTCCCACTACGCAAGGGCCGCTGGCCTTGGACCAGTCCAGAAGGCACCTCTGTCCAGCTTTAAGGGGGCGCCCCGCTGTACTGGTGCAGAATTAGAAATGCCATTAGCCGCACATTCAGTCAGCACACTCTGGAGGGTTCTGTGGATTTCAGTTCCCCTCCCCCCCTTCCCTTCCCCCTCCCCCCTTTCCATGGCTTGGACTGAGAGGCCTTTTGTCAGTCCAGGAGCAGCCTCAGTGTGAAGCCCCCAAGGGAAGGAGGGGGGGCTTTTTCTTGGCTTTTTTGTCTAACCCACGTCAGGGCTGTCCCACCCAAACACCACAGGGCACCCAGGCAACAAACAGCCGTATTTGCTGGCCTTCTGGTCACATTGGCCTGTGCTGGGAAGGAAATGGCTCCTGAGGGGGAGAGGAGAAACGACAGGCTGGCTTATCTAGCCTGGAAACCTGGGTTCTTTGTCACCCCAGAAGGGACAGGGGAGGAAACCGGGGCATGAGAGCCCTCCTTCACCCTGTCTCATGGCGGAGGGCCAGAGCTGGCGGGGCAGGCTGGGACTCTCCCTACTCACCAGGGTGTGGAGGGGGAGCTGTGCCCCCAGGTTCCCACTTCCCTGATCACTTGGGAGGTCCCCCCACTGACTGGGGCTTCCAGAGCCCTCCTTTGTCCTGAGTGAGCTTGAAGGGAGTGCTCAGGCACCCCTCCCTGCCTCCATTCTCCACCCGCTGAAGAACTTCTGGGCCTTGAAGATGGAGATAGCAAAGCTGACCCCTGGCAAAGTCTGAGAGACAGACAATGGCAAAGGCCTGGGAGACCTGGGGAGAGGGGGAACCCACTCCCTCCCAGGGCAGTCATTCTTACAAGCCTCAGTTTCCCTCTTTGCCCACCTTCCATGATTCCCGGTTCTGCTTTCCTGCTCAGTCAGGAGACTAATCCCTCTTCCACAAGACACTCCAAATACTCAGGCATTTATTTCCCTCCCATCCAAGTTGTCTCTTCTCCAAGGGAAACATTCTCCATTCATCCAACTTTTCAACACGTGTAAGGCCTCATCTCGAAGCCATTCCCTGTCCTGGACTCTTGTCTGGATGCTGTTCCATTGAACCCCAGAGAACACAGTCCTAACCCTTTACGGATGAGGAAACTGAGGTCCTCAGCTGCTCTCCATGGAGAGCTGGGCTTGGCATCCCCTGACAGCCTCCAGCTCCTTCTGCACCAAGTCACAGCTACTTCAGAGGTGGCCCTGCCTTGACCTAGGGCCCAGGCTCAGAACTGAGTCACCTCCTCTTCCTCCCCGTGGTCCTTTCCTACTGGCTGACTCATCTCCTCCCCTGCATCTTCAAAGGCCAGCCCCCTGGTTTTAGCTTTGGAGAAGCCTTCCGAGGCCTAGCCTGTGGCCAGCTTTAATGGGAGGAACGGGGGACTAGAGAGGGACCCCATCCCCCCAGAACGAGGCCAGAGGAGTGAATTAGGGGACATAGGCAGAATCGCCCCATCCTAGAGCCCAGAATCCTCTCCTCGACTCCTCAAGTAGCCTCCCACTGCCTCTGGGAACACCTCTAGCTGTTGGAAATGGGCTCTCCTCGTTCATTGACCATGTGAGCTGGGGCAGTCCACCCTGGGCGACCTCATTGTTCTCTTCCAGCTCTGACATGCTGTGAATTTTCTGTAGGAAAGAACATGGTTGGGGGTCAGTGAGAACGTTTGAATCCCTGCTCTGATGCCAGCTATGCAACCCACTCAGGGTCTGTAAGCCTGTTTGCTCATGTGTAAATTGGGGCCAGTATCACTGGCAGCCTCCCAGCTTTAAAGCAAGAGAAGGGTACGTGTTTAATGTCATTCTGTTACGTCTCTTCTCCCAGAGGGTAATGACCTTGGACAAGTCACTTTCCCATCTCAGCAGTCTCTGCACTGGGGGCCCGACAGGTGGGACTGAGACACCAAGCAGATACAACAGCAGTAGTGACAGTGGTGCTGACAAAAATAACTTCATTTCCACGTCCATGGAGTCTTCAGGTTTGCAAAAGTACATTTCCACAATGTCAGTATTCCTCTGGCCTGACGCTCTGGGTTCGAATCCTGCCCCGGACCCAGTGCCCTAGACCCCGAGCTGCAGACTCAGGTTCAGACCCTGCCCCTATTCTGCAGAAGAAGATCTTGAGGTCCAGCTCAGGCGACCTGTCCAAGGTCACACAGCCTCCAAACACCATGGGGGACATCCCTATCCGGCAATTAATTCTCCAGCCCTTGCGTGGCTGCTGTTTATGGAGGATGAAGAAGGAAGGAGGGAAACTGAGGCACAGGGGTAGGGTTGGGCTCCTGAGCCTGGCCCCAGGAACCAAAGGTGGGGCGCAGGCTGGAAGCAGATGAGGCAGGAGTCCGAAGGTTCTGGGCTGAAGCCAACTCCGCCCAGTGGGGGGGGGAGAGAGAGAGAGAGAGAGAGAGAGAGAGAGAGAGGGAGGGAGGGGGGGGAGGGAGGGAGAGAGAGAGAGAGAGAGAGAGAGGAGAGAGAGAGAGAGAGAGAGAGAGGAGAGAGAGAGAGAAGGGGCTGACGGGGGCGGGACCGTGTTAGGGCACGCCTCCAATACAGGAGGCCCGCCCACCTCCGGGAGCCTGAGCGGGACTGAATGTCCTTTTCCTTGCATCGCGCATGTCCAACTTGGCAGAGAAGGCAGAGGAAGTTGAGCGTAGCCCCGCCCCCCGGGTGTCAGCGCGCATGCTCAGCTGCTTGGCCTACCTTAGTGTCCTTTCCGTAACGTCCATGCTAGGTCTCATGTGCCAGGCACTTCCTAGTGAAGGGCAGTGAGGGGACTGCCTCCACCTCAGTCAGGGGCCCGGGCCGGTAGAAGTAGCTGCAAACTGGCGCCTCATCACGTTTCCTGGCGGACTTTCAGGCACCCCCTTCCTCGTGGTAGCACGCAGTACCAAAATAGCACGCATGCGCGAGCCCGGGACCCTGCAGTTCCCATACGCATGCGTTTCCCAAGGCGTGGCCCATTTTTTAAGGGAAACTTCTGCAGACGCGAGAAAGGTGCGGTTGGTATGCAGATGTGCTACTGCGCGTGAGCTAAGAGCTAACCAGTTAACAGTCAGCTGTCAGTCTCGCCTCTTTTCTGGCCTGGCCCCTTGAGCTTGGGCTGCAGGGCATCTAGGGGTACGGCTTATCCCATCCCCCAGCCCCAGTTTGGGGTAACCCCTATCTACTTTGGCCAGGGGTGCCTGCCTTCAGGGAGCTTCCACTCTGCTGGAGGAGAGAACCAAGCAGGGCAGTGGGGACAAGGGGCAGCCCCAGAGGCAGGGAGGGGAGCCTGGAGAGCTGGCCAAGCCTGGAATGGGATGCCCATGGCCCAGGGACTGGCCTGTGAGCTCTCGGGATTTCAATTCAATGGAACCAGCACACCGGAGAGCTTGGAGAGGGGTTTATTAGTTAAGAGTAAAAAGAAGACGGCGTCAGCAGCCCCTGGGGCTCCCAGCCCACCCCTCACAGTCCCCCAACTACTGGGGAACCCGCCCATCTTAAGGCACTTGAGCGAAGGGGAACATGGCCCAGATGGGGGCCTGCCCCCTCCAAAAGCCTGGCAAGGGTGATGCTCCCCGGCCACCTGCACTCGAAGAGCTGGAGGGACCTTTGCAGAGCTGTCTAAATGCTGTTAAGGATGCTGGTGTCAGGTGCAGAGAAAGGAAGGAGATCTAATTTGGCCCACAGTTTAACCAAAGCCCCAGTGTAAGGCGCTTAGGGATGGGGGGGGTCACTTCAAACCCTGCTCCACAACTAGATGGAAGGAGAGGACCAGGTGGGAGCCCCCCTCATCCCCCGGCTCTCCATTCCCAGGTGCAAGGAGCCACCAGTCGGGGGAAGGATCATTCCCTGACTAGGAGCTGCAGTCCTCCCCAGTGCTCCACTCACCCCCTTCTTCAGAGGAGTTAATGCTTTCACTTAAGACCTCCAAAACAGAGAGAGAGACTGCAGATAAAATATTAAGACAGGGTTCACTCCTCCCATCTCCAGGGAGACAGCTCCCCCAGAGAAATTCAAGGGGGTAGGAGCAGCATCAAGAGGTGTATCCAGAGTAGACCACATGTCCCCTGCTGGCCCAGAGCCCGGGGGCCCTAGGACAACTATCAGCCCCTCTTAAGAGCTGATCTGACTCAGGAAGGCTGATAGGTCCATATCCCCCATGGAGGGGAAGACTTCATCTGCCCCCACCAGACCGTTGGAGAGCGCTGAGGCTCCTGGAGGGGCAGGGTTGGGCTCGGGGGGTCGCTGAGGCCCTGTCATAAGGCGAGTGATTGACTCGGGGTACTCCATCAGCATGGGCTCCCCTGAGGGCCCAGGACCTTCCAGGGGCCCTGCCATTCCCTGGTTCAGCAGCTGTTGGAACTCAGAGTTGTCGATGGCTGCAAGGTTGGTGTATGTACTGTCAGGGTCACCCAGGAGCTCGGCCAGATCTCCATCTGTATCAAACTGAAGGCCCAGGAGGGCCTCAGACAGCGTTCCCTCCCCAGACTGGGAGAGCTGGGGTGGGACAGGGGCAGGGGTTGTTGTGGGTGGGGCAGGAACCAGGGAAGGAGCAGGCGTGGGAGCAGGGGCCAGGGATGGGGCTGGGACCTGGCCAGATGAAAAGACCATGGGAGTAAACTCCTCCAAATTGATGGTACTAAGAGGTGGGGGGAAGGCGTAGGGCTGGGAGACGGAGGAAGGCAGGCCAGGGAGGACACCTGAGTGGAATGAGGGAAAAGAGAAATGATCAACGAGCTGGCCCAGTGACAAGAGCCTTGTCCTCCCTCCCTCCCTCCCCAATAACCATGGCCCTTCTCTCCTTCCAGCCCGGATGAAGTCACACCCTTTCAGGAAGGCTTGCCTAAGGAAACTGTGGTCCGTAGAGTCCCTCAGAAGGGACCTCAGAGACCACGGCGTCCATTTAACCGAGGCCTTTTCCCACAGTCCCACAACAAGTTACTGAGAGGACAAACCTCTAACCCAGGTTGTCCAAGCCCCGAAGCCAACTTCAGCTGAATCCTAGGCCCCAACAGGAGATCTCTGACCCCTCCTGCCTGGCCAGAGTGGCTCCGGGGGAACACAGGCCTTACCTGGGGGCTTGGCACCGCGGGAGGGCACCGCGATGCGTCTAGGAGGCGTCCAGGCATCAGAACTGCCTACTGGGTGGAGAGTGGAAGTTAGCCCTGGGCGACCTCCCCAGCCCCTGCCCTGAGCCCGGCCCCCTGCTGTCGGGACTCACCACTGAAAGGACTCGTTTTCATGATGTTCTTAAAGGTGCCCAGGGTCCTCTTGCGCTTTTCTTCGATTCGGTGCCGATCATCTGGGTGGAGAGGAAAGGCCAGCTGGATCTCACACACCCCCTCCCCCCATCTCCAGGAAGGCTCCTTCCCCCCAGGCCCCCCAGAAGGGAGCTGTCCAGCCCACCATGGCCCTGGGCTTCACTCCCACCTCTCCTAGGAGAAGAGGCCCAGAAACACTGAATAGGCAAGGCAAGAGAAAGTCACATCTGTCTTCTGGGAATCCATCAATCCCTACACAAGCATGTACCAAGTGCTTGCTGGGGGCTGAGCCCTGGGCCTGAGGAGTGGCAAGCCATACTGGGGACACCCCTAAAATCTTCCACCTCCTCTCTGTCCGAGATCGCTAGAACTGACCCCCCCAGATCACATGAGGAGACTCCCCCTCACCTGCTCTCCTCCAACAAGCTACAAGAGTTTAAGCGCCTGCAATGTGCCAGGCCCTGGGTATAGGAAGGCCAGGTCACAAGGGGCCTGAAATGCCAAACAGGAGTTCACTCCTGATTCTACAGACGAGAGGAAGCTTAGACAGCAATGGGGAGGAGAGAGGCTTGAGGCAGAAGGACCAATGAGGAGGAAGCAGGGAGAAGCCCCACCTCAGAGGAATGGACTGCCCCTCCTCGGGGTCTGCCAGGCACTGCTGGCGGGGCATGTTGGGTGGGGATGCCTTTTGTCTGAGGCAGCCTCGAGGCTTTGGAGGTTCCTGGTGCCCACCAGAGTCAGAGGGGGCGGCCGTACGAGCAGAGAGAGGGAGCCCAGGTGTGTAGGAGGAGGGGCAGTGAGAAGTAGAGAATGACCCAGATTTTATGAATCTGGGCTCACAAAGGGAGGATGGGGCCGTACTGGCCAAAGAGGGGAGTTTGGGGGGAAAGCCAATGATTGTGTCTTGGCCATGCATAGCCCCATAGGACATCCTGTTGCAAAAGCCCAACCGGCAGGTGGAGATGGAGATTAGGGCTAGCGATGCAGCCCGGGGAGCCAGATTTATACACTGAGGCAATAACCCAACCATCCAGTGGAGCTGAGCGGTAAGCCAAGATGGTGACTGTTGGGGGAGAAGCGGGCCCCAGACAGAGCATTAGGGAATCCCTGGTTAAGGGGATGGGGATAATGGCCCTAAGGAGAAACACCATCCAGGGAGGAGGCTGAGGATTGGGAGAACTGCTCTCCTCTTGGACCCTGTTGACCCGTCTGGACTGCCCTCAGTATTCTCCCCCTTCTAATCTACCTGATGCACGACTGCCAACGTCATCTTCCTACTGCAAAGGCCTGACCACGTTACTTTCCTGTTAACAAACCTTCAGCGTGTCCTACATCTTGCTAAACAAAGTCCAGCCTTTGGCTCCAACTGACGTTCAACTGAATTCAACAAACACTGATTAAGTATCTGTGTGCAAGACACTGCTTTAGGCACCGGAGAGACAGATAAGAAAGAGTCTGCCGGGGAGGATGGAAAGCACACGCAAACAAGGCATGATAAAAGGTGGGGTCGGGCATCAGAAGATGCAGAGAAAGGAGATACGCAACCTTCGTTCTGCGTCTACTTTGTCCACCAAGAATGAAAATCGTTACAAGATAGGACTGAACAAGAATGGGTAACGTGTAAGATCCAAAGTGGGGAGGAAAGCATGCCCTCATGGCTCTTGTCGAGTTCTGTCAGCAGCCCAGTGGAACTCCATGCTCAGGTATTAAAGGAGCTGGTGGATGCCCCTTCTGGGCATGGAGAGGCGCTGCAGGACTAGAGAAGCCAAATGTCCAACCTGAAGAAAAGGGAAGAGCCTGGAGTCGGGAAACAATGGCTTACTGAACTCAACTGCAGTTTCTGGCATGTCAGGGACCGCCATGTTCCTCAGGAAGACTCTGCCCATCTTAAGGTAAAGGAAGCCTTGAACGCTGACTGTCAGCGAACCCTTGCTTCCGCCCCTTCTCAGCAGAAGGTAAGAGACTCCAGGTATAGAACGGGCCAAGGTGTTGGCTGGTTTGGGGGAGTTTTATGTGCACGGCTGTGGGAGGGATCACGGGGGAGTGAGAGCAATGTAAAAGATAGAAGACAGAGATAAAATTTCTAAAACTAGGTCATGCTCAACTAAAATCATTTCTTTTCTGGCAGAGCCCTAGAATGGTCCATCAGGGGAAGGCCAAGGACATACAAGGATGGGGCAGCACCTGTGATTTCCTTGATGAAGAAACTCCCTCTACCGATGCAGGCCAGTGCTTTCTCTGCAATTTGTTGTCTGAGAAGGTTGCCTAGGGCACCAAGTGGTGAAGTGACTGGGCCAGGGTCACACAGCCAGGAGGGTCAGAGCGGGCTAGATGACCAGCCAGAGCTGGGAGGGACCGCCGACATGCTGGATAGTGGGACTTGGAAAGGTCTTGACCAAGTAGAATTTTGGAAGATCAAAGTTGAGAGAACAGAACTGATATTCACATAATACCTTGGAATCAGTCAGTCTGCTTGCATCTACTACATGCCTGCCAAAGTGTGTCATGGCGATAACTGCCCTGGGAACTTGAAGTCCGACGCTTCAGCAGCCTGGCAGAACCTCCAGGAAGCTCAGCGGCCCCTACCCCTCCACGCCAGGGCTCATACACAACTCTCCAAAGCCCCTAGGAATGTGCCCCCTCCTTGCTTCACCTCAGAGAGTCCCTCACCTCCCCCACAAAGCCCTCCCTGGCCCAGCCACTGGGCTGAGGTCCTCTCTCCTCCCTAAAACGCCCCATCTCTGTTCTGGAAATAGTTACAAAAGTGGCTTCTCCCGGGTAGATGGCAGGGACGACTCTGCTGTGTCTTTGTATGCCCCACACAGTGCCTGGCACACAGGAGGCACGTAACAAACTGTTTGTTGACGGAGTCAGAACCCTAAATGCCAGAGGGGCCTTCACTTTAGCAGGAAGCAACTGGAGGCAGGGACTTCTGAGCAGAGATGAGAGATCAGTCTGACAGTGGGCTGAAGGAAGGCGCTTGGAGGCAGCGAGGCAGGTGGTGTGGGGAGTGGGGACAGACACCACTGGGGAATCACCAGGCCGGCCTGGCATCGCTCAGCTCTGACAAGGCAGAGTTTCAAGGAGCGCCAAGGTTTTGAACCTGAAAGGCAGGATGATGGTGATGCCTCTGAATGAAAGAAAAGGTGAGGGAGAGGGGGAGAAGGAAAAGGAGAAGAAAGAAGGAGGAAGAAGAGGAGGAGGAAGAGGGGAGAGGAGGATGAGGAAGAGAAGGAAAGGAGGAAGAAGAGGAGGAGGGGAGAGGAGGAGCAAGAGGAGGGGAAAGGGGGAGAAGGGAGAGGAGGCCAGAGGGCACAGATTCCTTCCCTGTGCACTCTCGCAGCCATAAAGAGGCTCCAAAGACACAGGTGTGGGCAGAGCCCTAGTCTCCGTCGGGCCACACCATGGGAAGTGGACTGAGGACTGGCAAGAATCACCTGTTAGCCCCCAGTCAGGCAGGGCCCTGCCCGCTCCCAGAGCACAGCCCCCGTACCTGTGTCCGGCAGATACTGGAACTCCATGGGCTCACTGAGCTCCCTGTCGGATGGCCGCCGAAGCTGCATGTGCACCCGTACCGGGGCCTGTAAGGCAGGCTCTGCATACGGCGGTGTGCGGAACACGATGGCCACCTGCCTGTGCACGTCGGCCTGCGAGAAGGATCCACGTGCCTCCCAGCCCGGCCCCGTGAAGCACACCTCGATGTCCTCTGCGGGGGACAGGGCAGGCAGAGGTGTGGCCACCTCTCCCATTGCCTCCGCCCCCACCCCGGCCCCAGCTGGCACTGACCTTTCTGCACCTTGTCACAGAGGAGGAAGATCTCATCCCCGCCCAGGCAGCTGCCCGAGTTACGGTTCACACGGCAGATCTTCAGCTCGGCGGTGTTGGGGGCCCCTGAGGGTGCAGGGAGAGCAAGAGAAGCTCGACCAGGCTGGGCCTTCTCTGGGGCCCCATCCCCCGCAAACCCCCCGTGCTCTCCCTGATAAGCACCGACGTCACTCTGGTCCCATGTGGTGCACCCAGGGCTCCCCCTTCTCCCTGTCCCAGGACCCAAGGACGGCCCACCTTTGGTCTGCCTCCTCTAGTGGCCCGCCCCCTCAGCTATCCCACCCTCCCTCTCATCTTCCACCTCTCCCTACCAGCTCGGGGACTCAGTAGACAGGGCCAGACTTGGATTCAGGAAGCCCTAAGTTCAAATCCTGCCTCAGACACTTATTAGCTCTGAGACCCTGAGCAAGTCCCTTGGCCTCTCTGCCTCAGTTTCCTCATCTACCAAGTGGAGAAAATAAAAGCACCTGCTTCCCAGGGTCTCTGTGGGGATCAAATAAGATGTCTGTAAAGCTCTTTGGAAACGCTAAAGCGCTATACGGACGCCAGCTAGTGTGAAACTACAGTGGAAGCATTATTAATCATAGATTTATGCTGCATATTTCTTTGCATGTATTTGTTGGCTCTTCCCTTCTACTGTAAGCTCGTGGCAAGTGGGGATGCTTCGTTCTCTGTACCTGTGTCCCCAGGTTCGGCAAGGGGCTTAATACTGTCTGAGCACTGGGCTATGGGTACAGAGAATGAAACATCCCCGTTCTGCAGCCTCTGACACTGCTGACCACTCTGTCCCCGTCCTCCCAGGTCTCCTACCTTTCACTGTCCCTTCTCAGTATCCTCTGTGAGTTATCATTTGTGTCCCACCTCCCCTCCACGGGTGCGCCCCCAAGACTCTCTCCTGCACTGCTGGGATCTCTTCAGCTCTGATGGGGTAAGGTATCCCTATCCAGTAACTCCTCAATCATTGTGTCCAGCTCTAAACTCTTCTCCGCTGGGTTTCAGTCCTAAATCCTGAACTGCCTACTAGACATTTCCAATTCAGATACCTCAAACAGAACAGGTCCAAAACAGAAATCATCACTATGGGCAAACCAGTCCTTTCTCCCTAGCATGACTACTACGGTGGTGGGCACCTTCATTTTCCAGTTCCCAATCCTGGAGTCACTTTCCATGCTCCCCTCTCCATCATCCAAGAGTCGATCAGTTGCCAAGTCCTGTTGGGTGTCATCTCACAACGATTCTCCTATCTGTTCCCTTCTCCTTATTTCCACAACCAGTCAGCCTCTGGACCACAGCAACAACCTCCTCATTGGTCCTCTCTCACTGTATCTTCCTCACAGCTGCCAAGGTGGCCTTCCCAAAGTACACACTCATGTCACTGTCCTACTCTGTGAGCTCTATTTGCTCCTTTCTTTCTGCCTCTTGGACCAAGTGCAAATTCCTCTGTTGGCAGGAAAGGCCTTTCATACCCTGGCCCCAGCCTGCCTACAATCCCCATTTCCCAAAAGTTTCTCCCTAAACACTGGCTCCCCTCTCCCTCGCTATAACCCCCGCGTGTACTCTGCATAGATGTTCTATGCGGACATCCCCAGTAGAATGGAAGTATTCTGAGGGCAGGGACGGTCTGGGTTTTGTCTTTGCATCCCCAGTGCCCAGAACAATGCCTGACACAAAGTATTTAACAAGCTTGTAGAGCTGGGGCTGGAAAGGACCACAGAAGAACATCCCATCACATACAATCTTATTTTACAGAAGAGAAAGCTAAAATGTGGAGAGGTGAAGAATTTGCCAAAGACCACACACCTAGTAAGTCTTTGAGGTTGGATTTGAACCTGCTCTTCCTGACTCCAAGTTCAATTTCTCATGACACACCTGTTTCCCAACAATGCGAGGAAGCCTTCGACGTCCTGCAATGGCCTGGTTCAGGTCCCTGACCATCCTAGCCCTCCTCCATCTCCTCCAATGCTCCAGAGCCGGTATCAGACACTGAACACTTCCTCAGGCTCGGCCCTGTACTAGCCTGTGATTTCATGGCCACAGGTCCAGCTTCCCACGAATCACCCTGCGTATTCCTGTGACTGGCTCGGACAGGGCCCACGCTTGTCCTCAGTCTGTCAGCTCCCGATGGGCAAGGCCTGGGGCTTCTTCCTCGGGCTCTGTGTGCTGTGGAGCTGTGGGCAGTAGCCCAGAAGTGCCCCAAACTGGCTCACTGGCAGCACAGCCAGCGATGGAGAAACCGAAGCCACCTGCCCTGCCCTGAGCTGCCTCATCGCCTTCCCCGCCTTCCTGCTCTCACCTCCTGGGCTCCTCCTCGCCCTCTAGCTCACTGGCTCTGCTCAGACCCCTGGATCTGGACGCTGTCATCACTGAGGATCTCTAATTGTTTTCACTGCTTATCTACATCTGCTGTCTCCACCTCCTTCCCATCTAGTGACTCCTCCAACCTTGCAATCGGCTCCCCCGGCTCCCCTAGGCCAAGGAAATCCACCTCTCAGAGCTCACTGACCTCCAGATTCCTGGATCTGCTCACCTGTCTTCAGTCTTAGGCCTCCCTGACCCTTGCGCAGCACCCAGTGCTGCCGATTGCCGCCTGCCCTGGTCCTCCTTAGGTCCCTCTGAGCGTGAGTGTCCCTCCCAAGGCCTCGTCCTGGGCCATCTTTTCTCCTCATCTCTTGTGGCAACATCACTGCCCCCAGGATTTCAAAGACCGCCCTAATCCAGCTGGTGCAGGGGTCTCTGAATCTCCCTGTCCCGCAGCTCCACACCTCACCTTCATGTACCTGAAACTCAGCATGTCCTTTATTTTCCCCGCTGCACTCTATGCGGCCATCCCCCTGAGCACCCGGGCTCCCTGGCCTCTTGGATCCGACCACACTTCCCCGTCAATCCCCTTGTCTCTGCTCTCAGTCAGTCTCACAAAATCTCTTTACTGGAAGGCAACTCAGAGGTCACTTAGTCCAACTCATATGCCAACAAGAATGGCCAGGGGGCGCTTTTAGGACCTCTGCCTGCCCGGACAGCCTGGGAGGGGCTACTTTGGCATGATCCTAATTCCTATTAGGAACCTGTTCACTGCATCAGGCCTAAATGTGCCGCCAGGTGCTCCTAGCTCTGGCCTCCTGCAGAGCCAGAGAGAAAGCTTAGGCCCTTTCCATATAGTACAGTGCAAAGAATGCTAGCTCTAGGGTCCCAGGACCTGGGTTTCAATCTTACCCCTGAACTTTATTCCCTGTGGGACACCCCCTCCCCCCCCACTCGCTCAATTTAGAGCCTCGTATGCACGATGGCCCTGGCACCAGCCACATTCAGTTCTTCCCTCTCCATCTCCCCTGAAGCCTGATCTCCGGCCTCCAGGCCCTTTCCTTTCCAGTCCAGCCTCCACACATCTCTCATCACAGAAGGCACGATGCAGACCTCCTTGTTCCCCTGTTCTTCCAGAGGATCTGTTTTGCCAAGGGGAGGCACCCGTCATCTACCTTCAAACAACCTAGCTTCTGGCCAGACTGGGCTCTCGGCTTCTCTCCCAGCCGGCCATGCTGTTGCCGGGGTCCCCATGCCCACGCAGACAGGCCACACACCGCTTCCTTTATGGCTCTGCTAACACATCCCCCTCCACAGCCCTTGACCCCGCCAAGTTTTCCCTGAGAACCCCAAGCTACAAGTGCTTCTTCCTGTGTCACATGGCCATCCTTTGCCCTAGCCCGCCCTAGCTTGCATCTGCTTACCTGTGGGCATGCCACACTCCTCCCCAGGGGCGCTCAGGTCCCAAGAGGGCAGGGACACCATCTCATCGTTGACTCTTGGAGTCCCAGCACCAACTACGATATGCTCCTTGCCATCCTCTCTCTTTAGCTCTTCTGGTCCCATCTACCTGTTCTCTTGCCCGGGGCCCACTGCCCACCCCTCCCAGTCTTTCACTCACGGTTGTCATAGATGGGATGGGAGAGGACAGGGGGCAGGACGAGGGGCCTGCCTGCAGGGTCCCGGATGGTCACTTGGAAGCAGAGCCGGACGGCATTCAGGTCATAGTCTCCCCTCTGTTCTTCCAGGGGCACTGTGGGAGTAGGGGAGGGTCACAGGTTGACGAGGCTCAAGCCACAAAGCATTGCTGTGGGGCCAAAGGGAACCCAGAACACAGCCATGGAACAGGGAAGCCCAGAGCTAGATCAAAAGTGGAGAACACAGGCAGCTCATCAAGGTAAAGGGAGAGAACCTTTTATTGACATTTTTAAATGTACACATTATAAAGGTTGGAAAATTACTCTCCAAAAGAGAATTAACTAATTTGGGGCTTAGAAAACAAGAGGCAAGGGCTACCTAGCACAACACAGATGACAAAGACAGGCACACTAGTGCATTGTTAGTGGAGCTGCGAAGCGATCCAACCATTCTGGGTTTCAGTTTGGAAGCAAGAAAAGGGACTAATGGTCCATGGCCTTTGACCCAATGATCTAATTACTGAAACTCCACAAAAATGCCAAAGACAGAAACAACAACAGCTCTTATATAAACCAAAACATTCGTAGCAGCTCTATAGCTTTAACAAAGTGGGGGCTCGTCAATTAGAAATGGGCTGAAAAAACCTGGCATATGAATGTAATGGAACATTACAAGGGGGCAAGAAATAACAAACAAAGAATTCAGAGAAACATGGGATGATCTATGTGAAGAGACGCAGAGCGAAACCAGCAGGCCCAAGAGAAGGAGAGGCCACCGAGGAAAGCTGACAGAAGAGGGGGGATGCCCGGGGCACTTAGGAGGGAGGACAGGAAACACCAGGGACGCCAGCCCAGGAACGGCCCGGGGCGGTGTGGGGCAGGGGGGCAGGCAGGGCTCTCACCATTGAAGGGATTATTGTTGGTCTGCACTCGATGGGCGATGGCCTGCTCCAGGTCTCGCTTCTTCACACACTGAATCCCCAGGTTCTGAAAGCTAACACCTCACAGCCGTCAACCCGACTGGCCTTCCCGGCCCAGGGCCTGCCCTCAGACACCCTCTTTGGTACTCCTCTGCCCCACCCCCGGCTCGGGGGCCCCATTTCCACTGCTCTGTCCTGGTTACCTTGAGGGGTCCTTCTGGTTGCCCCTCCCCCAAATGAACTGACCCCTGCACTAGTGCTGCCCTGACTCCCCAACACCTCCTGGGTCCATGGGGCACAGATGGACCTTCTCACCTGTGGATGCAGTGATCAGGGCAGAGTTCAGCCTCATAGAAGCCATCCCTACAGTCCTTCCCCACCAACTCATGGGGGTGAGGCCGGTGAGGGGGCTCCTTGGTCACCAGAGAGATGCGGACAGTTCCTGGTCCAGTGTAGCCAACAATCTGGGAAAGGATTGGAGGCTGAGTCACCCCCCTCCAGAGAAGGTAAAGGTGGGGGTCCCAGGCCCATCAGGGGACCTCTGACCCCTTGGAATTTGCCTCCTGGTGGGTGGGGCTGGGGCTCAGTGTGTCCCTCCCCAGCCCCAGACTCCCTCTCAGGCGGGGGCTGTGTGCCCCCCAGCTCCTGAGTACACTGGGGCAGGGGTGGGGGCTGAGCAGGGATCCCCCTCGGGTATAGGTGGGGGCTGAGGGGGGTCCCCCTTGGGTGGGGGCAGGGCTGAGCGGGGATCCCCCTCGGGTATAGGTGGGGGCTGAGTGGGGGTCCCCCTTGGGTGGGGGCAGGGCTGAGGGGGGTCCCCCTTGGGTGGGGGTTGTGTGCCCCCAGCTCTGGGGTACACCGGGGCAGGGGCGGGGGTGGGGCTCAGAAGGGGTGTCCCGCTCTGAGCGCCCCCCCCCCCCGCCCCGCCCCAGGGCTCACCTTGATGGTGGGATGCGTCTTGGTGGTGTCCGTGCTGCGCTCCCCGGGGATGCTGCCCGCAGACCGGCCCTCGCACTTGTAGCGGAAGCGCATCCCCCGCTGCTTGGGCTGCTCGATGATCTCCACGAACGGACCTCGGGCCGGGGGAGAATCTGGGGGGGCGGAGGGGGCCGCACACACCGCGGGCTCAGGACCCCCCGGCTCTGGACCCCGATGCCTCCCCCGACCCTCCCAGCCCCCCCCCGCGCCGCCCCCACTTACCCGAGGCGAAGATCATGGGTAACAGGTCTGAAAAGAGGAGGGGGCACAAAGGAAATTGAGTCAGGCGCCTCCCTCCCCTTGCCCACCCCCCATGCCCCGCCCCGGGAGGGGGGGGGGCGGCCAGACCGACCTTAGGGCCGGCCCGCTCTGGCCCCTCCCGGCCCCCTCCCCCTCCCCGGGTCAGAGGTCAGTCTCACCCTCCATGGCCAGGGTCCTGGGGGGCGGGGCCGGGGGTCTCAGCTGGAGCCCCCGCGGCGCGGCGCGCGCCCTACGCCCGAGCCATTCGCCAGAGGCGGAAATGCGCCGCGCGCGCTCGCGGCGTCACTGCTCGGAATGTTGGGCCGCGCCTGCGCACCAGAGCCTCCCGGGACGCGCGCGCTCCGCGCGCTCCCGCCTGCGGGGGCGGGGCGGACTGAGTGCGCAGGCGCGGGGAGGTGGCTGCCGAGCAGGGCAAGGCCTAGGGGCAGGGAGGCTTCAGACCCGGGCCGGCCCTTCCGCGCTTTAGAGTAAGTCTTTATTTAGCTCTCCAAGTGGCTTTTCCAAAACGTTCAAGCCAAAGACCAGGCTCCCACCCAAGGCGGGGTGGGCGGGGCGGGCGGGGCGGGCAGATCGCTGCTCTGATTGGCGGGGGGGCGCGACGCCGCTGCGTGCTTGCGTCATGGGTCTTCAAGAAGCGCGTGGCCTCAGGACGCTCAGGGAGGGGAGGGGCGAGAGGAAGACTGGGAGGGGCGGGTGTGTAGGGGAAGCACCTACTATGTGCTTGGAAGGAGGAAGATTACACCCAGGGAAAGGCCCCTGTGATGCTTGGGGCGGGGTGCGAGAGCAGAGGGTTGGTCCTCCCCTTTAAGGCGGTCGACTCGTGTGGCAGAAACTCCCTCTGCCAGTGTGGACCTGGCACCTGCCTCTCTAACTTAGAATTGTTTCTTTTACCTTACTGAGAACGGCTCACTTTATTCTTTGTCATGACTATGTCCTGTTTCTCTTCTGCCCTTTGTGGCTAAAGTCCTGGAAGAGGCCGTCTACACCAGGTGCCTACACGGTCCCTCCTCTCGCTCTCTTAACCCCTTTCAATCCGGCTTTTGACTTCATCGTTCCACCAAAGCTGCCCTCCCTCAGTGATTAACGATCTCATCAGTGGCCAGCTCCAGCGGCCTCTTCCCCATTGTGGGGCTCCCTGGGCTCTCTGCGGCGTGGACGCTGCTGCTCACTCCCTCCTCCCCATCCTCTCCTCTCCAGGTTCTGGGGGCCACTCCCCCTACTCCGCTCTCCTCCTCCTCCAACGCCTTGTTCTGTCTCGGCTGTTGGATCCCCTGGCAGATCACATCCTCCACCCGTAGGTATCGCTTCCTCCCCCACCCAGCCTTCCCTGTGTCGGGGACCTCTTGGAGGTGGAAGGACAAACAGCCACCTTCCTTATTAGTGTAGAGGCATCACCACCCTCCCAGCCCGTGAACTCCGATTCCAATATGGTGTAAACATTTCTCCGATACACCCCCTTCTCCCCGCCGCTGCCACCCTCCTGGTGCAGACCCTCAGCCCCTCACACCTGGACTCTTGCACCGGCTGCTTGGTGCGCGGGAGGGGGACTGCCTGTCTCAAGTCATCCCCTACTCCAGTCCATCCTCTGTCCAGCTGCTAAAGGGGTTTTCCTAAAACACCGGTCTAACCACGTCACTCCCTGCTCAATGTGCCCTGGTGGCTTCCTGTTGGCCTGGAAGATCAAATACAAAATGCTGTGCCTGGCATTCAAAGCCCTTCCTAACCTGGCCCTCTCCTCCCTTTCCAGTCTTCTTACACCTTACTCCCCAGTATGTTCTCTGGCGGCCTCCCCTGACTGGAATGCTCTCTCTTTCTCGCTGCGTAATCCCACTTTTTACAGGGAGCCTTCCCCCCCCCCCCAAATTCTGGTGCCTTCCCTCTTCTCATTTTTTTCCTAGTGTATATAGAGCTTGCTTATACATAATGGTTTGCTTGGCCTCTTTCCTATTAAATTGTGAGCTCCGTGAGGTCAGGAGCTGTCTTTCGCCTCTTTTTTTTGTATCTCCAACGCTTAGCCACAATGCCTGTACCTAATAAATGCTTAATAAATGTTTATTGACTGACTGACCGACTTCCTATCAAAACATTGATGTGGTGGCCACATAAGCCGCAGCAGCTGCCTAGGCTGCCTGGATGCATGTTCTAGTGTCTTTACAAGGGTGATGAATTCCTGGTAGGGAGAGCAAACAGGTCATTTCTTATGGAAAGGAGTGAACACGGGTGAAGTCATTGTAGGTTTTGGAGACAGCACCTATGAGAGCAGAGTTTCCCAGAGTGACTGGGTAGTCCTTAGCAAAATGTATTGGTCATCAGTCCTGACTGGCTACAGCTTGTTAGAAATAGCAGCAGAGGAGCAGCGAGGTGGCACAGTGCATCGAGCTCCAGCCTTGGAGTCAGGAGGACATAAGTTCAGATGCCTGCTCAGACACTTGACACTTAGTAGCTGTGTGACCCTGGCCAAGTCACTTAACCCCATTGCCTCACTAAAAAAAGAAAAGAAAAGAAAAGAAAGAAAGAAATAGCAGTGGAGATAATGCCAGCACCTGTAGGGGCAGAGAGACCCATAATGCTCAGGGACTTTGCAGGGCACTAGATATGGTTTACAAATCTTGCCTCCCAGGGGCCGTGCCTCACAGGAATGAGGAGGCCAGGCCAGCTTGGCCAGGATTGGTAGGACCACGGACTACTCTGGCCACTTCTTTAGGTCACTTGATGACCAGGCCAACGTGATCACTAAAGCCTTGACCAGCTCAAGGATTATCCTCAGAACCTGATCTTTCAGTCAGGGCCCAAAGAAATTTATCACCCAGACTTCTTCCTGAGAAGGGATAAGAAATACTTCTCCAAGGACTTCATAGCCTTGGCTAGCTGGCCTGGCCAGAATATTCTGGGTTCACCAGGAGCAGAAACTCCAACTTAGAATCCTAAGAGCCTGGCCCTGCACTGAGATTTTCTAGTGACTTGGTCAGGGTCTGCCTGATATGACAAGACTTTCTGACACTAATGAAAGCTCCAGTGGGTCCTTGTTACCCTGAGGGTCAAATATCAGTTCCCCTGTTTAGCATTTCAAGCACTTCCTGACCTGGCCCCATCTCCCCTTTCCAGCCTTACAGCCTAGGACTTCCCTCCACCCCCTAAAGCCAGCGTTCCAGTCTTCTTACCATTCCTCACAGGTGACACTCTGTTCTCTTTGGAGACCCCATGCTCCCCCACCTCACTTTTGACTTTTCAAAAAAATCTTTTTTAAAATTTTGAATTTAATGAGGGAAATAGAGAGGGAGAGAGACAGAGAGAGAAGGGGGGGGAGAGAGAGAGAACACATTTCTATATACAGAGTAGGACAGAAAAAAAACTGCATGTGAATTCATGCTGTCGTGCTCAGCTTCCGTTTTGAAAAGTCTATGATAAATTTACTGAATTACTTTACAAGCTGTCCTGTTTCTCTGTGTCTCATTCTATTCTCTTCTGTGTGTTTTTAACATTACTTTAGTGACCCTGTTTTTCCTTCTGTTCCTTTTCTTGGCGGTAACTGCCCCAAATAAAACAAGACAAAAACAGCGCAATCCCTGGAGCGATTAAACATGGAACCCAAATCCGTCCGCTTGCCATTTCCAGCCCCAGTCTTGCTCGGCACCATGGCAGGAGGCGGGAGCCTGCTTCTTCATTGGCCCTCTGCGTTTATGCTTTGTGTTCTGATCGGAGTTCTGAAGTCCTTCAAAGTGGTTTTCCTTTACAGCAGAACCCTGGGTTTTCTTGGAGACTCAGCTTCAGCACCTTGGGCTTTTCCTGTTCCCCCTCTGGTATGGAGTGCCTCTCCCCCAGATTACCTTGTACGGGTTTTGTGCATGTTAGAATACAAGCTCCCTGAGGGCAGGTACCACCTGCCTTTTGGTTTTGTATCCCCCAATGCCTGTCATATAATGCACATTTAAAGGATTGTGGAAGCACAGTCCTGAATTGCTGGGAGAACATACCTGAAAGGGGGTGGGGGGCTGTGGAAGCAGAACCTGCTTGTTTTCTCCTTCCTTTTTTCCCGTTGCTATAAGGCAGGGCCGTCTAGGTGGGAAAGAGGGGAGGGTACTCTGGGAAATGAAAGTGATCTGAACGGGATGTCAATAAAATCTTTAAATTGACAGGAATGCTGGTTGATTGCTTGTTTCTGTCCGCTTCTTAAAGCTGTCTCTCCTAAAGCACAACAGCCGTCGTTGACAGAGAGAATGTGCCCTGTGGACAGTGCCTTTCCCTGGATCCTCTGTCCTCTGAGTTTTGGTGGCACTGCTCTCTCCTGGTCCTCCTTCTGTCTGTCTGACCGCTGCTTCTCCATGCCCTTTACTGGCTTATCATCCCTGTCATGGTCCCTGAGTGTAGGCAGTTAGCCTCTCTACACCCTCTCTCCCATGCTCGTCATCATCTCTGGGTTCTAGTGTCATCTTTATGCTGATAATGGCCACAGCAATGGGCCAAATCTAACAAGATGAAATTCAATGGGAATAAATGGAAAGTCTTGCACTTGGGCACAAGAAATCAGGTCCACAGATATAAGAAGATAGAGGTGTAGGTGGAAAGTCACGTTCTGAAAACAATCTTGGGGTCTGAGTGACCTGCAAGCTCAAGAGGATGTGGTAGCCAAAAAGTCTGTGGCATCCTGGGCTGCAGGGCAGGGAGGTGACTGGCCCTCTGTCTTCTGCCCTGGAGAACAATCATCCAGAGCAGGCCTGCACAACCTGCGGCCCACGAGCAAACCAAAGGAGTTCTGGCAGCCGGGGAAAAATGTACAGGTTGTTTTCCTCAGCATTTTTGCTGTCTGCCTTTGGCGGCTACAGGCTGTGCAGGCTCAGTGCAAGCATCCCAGAAGGGTATCCACAAGCTGGAGTGTCCAGAGGAGGGCAGTGAAGGGCCTGCAGTGGGGCTATGGTGGGGTCCGTTGAAGGAAGCCTGGAGAAGAGAAGTCAGGGGGACATAATTGCTATGTTCAGGGATAACTAGAAGGGGGTAGAAAGAGCAGTTCCAAAGAGGCAGAGTTAGGCTGGATGTCAGGAAAAAACATCCAGACAATCAGAGCTGCCCCAAAGTGCACTGGGCTGCCTTGTGGGGAGGAGGTGAGTTCCCTGTCTTAGCAGGTCTTCAGGGGGTGGATGCCCACTTCCTGGCTATGCTCTGGCACCAACTCCTCATTCAGGGCTTGGACTAGAGATCTAGCAGCTGAGCTCCCTTTCAATTCTCAAGTTCTTGACCCATCTCCTAAAGAAGGGCTGGTTCCCACCAGAGCCTCCACTTCTCCTAAATGGCAGAGCTAAGGGTGAACCATCCCAAGGATACATTTGTTGATGGGTTCCTAGGGAAGTCACTCCAGAGAACAGTCTGGCCCTGGATTTAGCAGCTGCTATGAAAAAGGAATTGTGTTAAAAACTGGGCAGGGAAGTACATCGGAGGAAGGATGTGTTTTAATTGACTCTTTCATAAATCTGCCGATTGGAGAGGGGTGGGGGGTGGAGAAATACTTCACAAAGTCACCTATGACCAAGGAAACTTCACTCCTCTCTTGGGGCACATAGGTAGATGCTGTTCTCAGCTGTTAATGCAAAGGGTTTTTATTAATGCAGAAATGACATTAATTCTAAATTCATTCTAAAATAAACTGGTGGAAAACTTGGGTTTTCTAATCTATGACTATATCAGAAGAAAAAGGTGAACAATGAGATAGCTATGATTAGGTTTTCATTTTCTCATTGAGACCTAGTTGGATTTAATCAGTGCTTAAAGCTGGGAACACAGAATGTCAGAACTGGGAGATTTAGTACGTATGATGCAGATATCGGAGCCCAGGAGGACTTAATAGCATAGATGATCAGAACTGAGAGGGCCCTTTGTTGTTGTTCAGTTATTCATGACTCATTTGGGGTTTTCTTGGCGAAGATACTAGAGTGGTTAGCCATGTCCTTCTCCAGCTCAGTTTACAGATGAGGAAACTGAAGCAAACAGGTTAAGTGACTTGCTCAAGGTCACACAGCTAAGTGTGTGAGGCCAGATTTGAATTCAAGGTGAGTCTTCCCGACTCTCTCCACTGTGCCACCTAGCTGCCTGAAAGGGCCCTTAGGTTATGGAATATCAGAGCAGGTAAGAATCGGAGAGCATCTAATACCGAATGTCAGTGTTGGCAGTGACCTTAGAATATCGCATATAGAATGTCAAAGCTTAGATGGACATGAAACATCAGAGGTGGGAAAGACCTGAGAGCGTACATCAGATATGAGGGGAACCTTCGATGGTCAATGTGAATAGGGGCCTTAGAACGTGGAATAGCAGAGTTGTGAGTGACCTTAGAGCACAGAAGGTTAGAGTTCACCAAAGATCTCTCAGCTTCCAGATCCAAGGGCGTTTTCTCAATCCTCATTCTCATCGGCTTCTCGGCAGCCTTTGATAATACTGGTCACTCTCTCCTCCCTGACACAGTCTTCTCTCTTGGTTTTTAGGACACCTCTCTCTCCTGGTTCTTCTCTGACCGCCCCTTCTGTCTCCTTTGCTGGATCCCCCTCCAGATCATGCCCTCCTATCCAGGTGTCCCTCTGTCCTGGACCCTCTTCTTTCTCCCTCTCTACTTTACTTGGTGATTTTATCAGCTTCCATGGATTTAATTACCACCTCTGTGCTGATGATTCTTAAATTTACCTATCCTGCCTCAACTCTGCTGAGTTCCAATTTCACATATCTGACTACCTTTCAAGACATCTTGATCTGGATATCCAGCAGACATCTTAAACTCAGCATGTCCAAAACAGAGCTCATTGCCTGCAGAGGGTGACACTATCCTCCCAGTCCCCCAGGCTCCCAATGTAGGAGTCATCCTGGACTCCTCACTTCCAAGCTCTCTCCATCCAATATGGTGCCAAGGCCTGTTGATTTCGCCTCTGCAGCACCTCATGGTGAGCTGATTTCACATGTTTATTGACCGTCTAAGAGCTTATAACGTAAACTATCAGAGCTAGGAAAGACCTTACAGAACAGAACCCAAATGTCAAGGTCAGACTTTGGCTTTAGCACACAAAACCCAGAATTTGTTCATGAGGTAGGATGGCTCTGAGTGTTCAGAACACAGTAAGAGACTAAGAGAGAACATGGTATATGAGAGCTCAGAACATGAAACGTCTGAGACTGAAGGGAACTGATCTTGAGCACAGATGGGTATTACAACATAGACATGGACCGTTAGTGTGATGGGAGGGACCTGAGGACGAAACGATGCCATAGCTTAGAGAAGCCTTAGAGAATAGCTTGTCAGGGCAGGCTGGGCCCTTAGAACTGCTGAGGTGGATGGGACATTAGGGCATCAGAGAATATCAGAGCTAGCAGGGACCAGAAACTGGAGAACCCAGATGCTATTAACTAACACTGAGTGTTGGAGCTGAGTGTGACCTTAGGGCAGCTTGGTATAGTGGAAGAAGCATTAGTTGGGGAGTCAGGGGACCTGAGTTCAAATCCTACCTCAGCCACTGAGACCTCCCTAGACCTCAATTTCCTCACTAATAAAATGGTGGAGGGGCTGGAGTATTCGACTAGTTAATTTCTGAGGTCCCTTTCAACTCCATATCTACGATCCCAGAAAGACACAGAATGTCTGGCTTGGGGGGGAGTCTCAAAATGTAGAACATAGAATGTTGAAGCTTGTATGAGCCTTGGAGCATTGCCTGTCAGTGCTTAGGTCACACAGTATACAAGAACAATATTGGGAAGGAACTTAAGACTGTAGACTAACAGAAAGGGGGAAAGAAATTAGAACACAAATTGGCAGAATTGGGAGGGTAACTTAGAACATAGAGAGAAAAAAATGGCCAATCACGGGCTTTAAAAGACAGGCTATAGAATGTTATGCTGGGAGTCTCTACTGTATGCCAGACACTATGTTAAGTGCTGGGGATACAGAGAAAGGGAAAAGACAGTCCCTGGCCTCAAGGAGCTTGCAGTCTAATTGGGGAAACAACATACGAATGACTATGTAGAAACATCATACTGTGTAAATAAATGGAAGGTATTCCACAGATGTTAGGCATTAGAATTAAGGGGGACCAAGAAAGACTTCTTGCAGAAGGTGGGGTTTTAGCTGAAACTTGAAGGTTGCCAGGAAAGCCAGGTGGATGGGGATAAAGAGGGAGAACATTGTTACTTTCTCTAGTCTTGGGAAAGCCTTGCTGGGCAACAGAAAACAGGACAGAGAATGTTCAAGATTGGACAGGCTTGAAAACCTAAAACATGGTGTTGGAACTGGAGACCTTGGACATAGAACACAGAGATGGAAGGGACCTTTGAATCGGTCGATCGGCTATGTGCCAGGCACTGTGTGGGCAAAAAATAAAAATTCTTTGCCCTCAAGGACCTGCCATTTTATTAGAGTCCAACACACACACACACGTAAATATATCCCTAGAACACAGGCTGTCAGGATTGGCTAGGCATGTCAGAGGATAGATTGTGAGAGGTCTAAGTGGCCTCAGAGGTCATCTTATCCAAACCTCCAAAAACCTGAGACCCAAGGGAGGGATGTGAACTGATCAAGGTCATACATAACCTCTGAGCCTTTGCAGAATGTCTTTTTCACGTCCCTTCACAAAACCACCACTGCGACACTTCCATGGGAGCTCACGATTCATTTCCTTTTTTGGTTTAGAAATGTCAAATGATAACTGTGTTAGAAATTCAAAAGCACATTTGTGTTGTTGAAATACTTGTGTTTGCTGTGGGAGAGATCCAGGGCAGCTCACTGTCACAGACAAACGTGGCCAGTTTGTTCTTTGTGACGGTGGCAAAATGTCCTCAGCAAATTGGAATGGGTCACACCCCCCCCCATTGCTCTCCCCAGTCTGTATTTGCTCCGATTAGCTTTGGTAAATTAAAAACTAGTAAATCTAATAACTTGTCAATTGACTGACAGCAGCAAAACGACCGAGGCAAACATAAACTCTGCCTCCTGGGGATGCTCACAACGCACCTGACCACACGAACAGGGTTCACATGCGGGTGTAAACAAAGCAGCACATGCACGATGCCTAAAGTTTGCAGAGCACCGCACAAATATTTCATTTGATCTCATCACAAGGGGGGGGAGGTGCTGTTATGACCCCCGTTTTACAGCAGAGCAAACGTAAACAGAGATGAAGTGATTTGCCCAGGGTCACACAGCTAATAAGTATCTGGTCAGGACTTGAACTCAGGCCTTCTAGCTCCAGGCACAGTACTCTATCCTGGACAGTTAGATTTGGGGGTCTTAGAATAGGAGCATGAGGGCGGGAAAGCCTTTCGGTGCCCATCCCGTCCAACCCCTACACTGAAGCCCAGGTTGGAGAGTGACTTGTCCAAGGTCACAAAGGCAGCAAGTATGAGAGGCAGCATTCGAACCCAGCGCACGACTGACAGAGAGCACTACCCAGCAGCGTTTCCTGTTCTGCAGAGCGGGGCCCGGCCGGAACAACAACAACGCGTCACGTGCACCGACGTGATCCCGACGCACTCGAACGACGTCGCATGAAGGACCCAGCCCTCTTCCAATCAGAGGGCGCGGCGCAAGGCCCCGCCCCGCCCCGGATCCGGCCTGGGGCCTGGAGGAGGTCCCGGCGCCGCCTGCCCACCCGGAGGCCGAGCGCCCCTGAAAGTGGGCCGGCCTCGCCGCTCTGGCCGCGTACTTGGCCGGGGGCTCCCTCCTGCCCCCGGCCCCCTCCGCCCGGACGCCTCTGTACCCCAACACCCTTCGAACTGCATCAGGGAGGTGCCGGTACGCCGGACGTGACGTCACCCCGCGGAGCCGGAAGCGGCTCCTGAGGGAGGGAGGGAAGATGGCGGAGGTGGTGAGTCCGGGGCCCGGCGCGGGGCGGGGCGAGGCGGGGCGGAGGCATCCGCAGGACGGCGGCGACTCCCCCGGCCTCCCCCATTGACCGCGGTGTCTTCCCCAGGGCGAGGTCATCGAGGGCTGCCGCCTGCCCGTGCTGCGGCGTAATCAGGACAACGAGGATGAGTGGCGTGAGTGACGGGGGGCGGAGCCAACTGGCGCCGTGGGGGCGGGGCCTGGGCGATGGAGCCCTGCGGGGAGGGCGGGGCTTGGGAAGCGATAGGCGTGGTTCCTTGAGAGGGGCGGGGCCAGACCATACCTGGGAGGGAAGGGAAGGGGTAAAGAGAGGGCCGGGCTGGGGGAGGGGATGTGGTCTGTGTGACCCTGGGGAGGGGGCCCGGCTGGAGGCCCAGAGACCTCCTTGGAGGGGGTAAGGGAGGGGGTCAGTAAAAGGGCGTGGCTAATTCGAGGGTGAAGCCGGAGGTCTCCAAGAGTGGGGGCTTGGTGGGATGTGGTTAGAGGCCTGAAGACCCCCACCCCCACCCTCCTTCGGAGAGGTGAGACTTGGTCACCAGCTTAGGATGCCTGGGGTGGAGGGGGGGCGGGGCTACGGAACCCCAGGAGCCACGGGGCGTGGCCGGGGAGGGCGGGGCCTTGGACACCCCCCTTCCCCCCACCCGCCCAAGGGCAGTCCAAGGGCAACTTAAGGGTGGGGCCGGGGACTGGTGGGGAAGGGGTGAGACCCAAGCTAAGGGGAGGGGATGGTCTGGGGGAGAAGATGCTCTTCTCAGGAGAGTGGGGTGGACCCCAGAGCCCAGGGGGAAGGCCTGTGCCCAGTGCCCTCGTTTAAGCCTCCTGCCTCCCCTGCAGCTTTGGCCGAGATCCTGAGCGTGAAGGACATCAGCGGCAGGAAGCTGTTCTATGTTCATTACATCGACTGTGAGTGCCGGGCCGCCGCCGGGCCGCGGTCCTTGGGCACAGGGTGGGACGCGGTGGGGTCAGGCAGATGAGAGGAGGAGACCCTGGCGGCGGCCTGGCGTCTGAACTTCTTCCCCTCTGTGCAGTTAACAAGCGTCTGGATGAGTGGGTGACCCATGACAGGCTGGACCTAAAGAAGATCCAGTTTCCCAAAAAAGAGGCCAAGACTCCCACAAAAAATGGGCTCCCTGGGTCCAGGCCAGGCTCCCCTGAGAGGGAGGTGGTGAGTAGATGCAGTATCCAAATCGGAGCCTGGAGACAGTTCCCAGGAGGATGGTCAGGCCCCGCCCCCATCTCGCTTGTCCCTGTCCTGCTTAACCCATGGTTTGGGGGCTCCTGTGCCGCAGGCTGAGGATGAGAAGGGGAACAAGGCAGCCTTGCTGTGGAGGCGTGGCCTGGAGAGAGTCTGTAGAGATCAAGGTCGGGTCAGAGGGTGGAGGTGGTGTTACTGAATCTGAGGTTTCAAAATTCAGTCACCAAACCCCACAGAGTTGGGGTGGGAAGCCAGCCCAAGGGGAAGGGGTGGGGGGGTGAACCCACCTGGCTGATGGGGGCCCCCTCCTCCCCTCCCCCTCGCTCCCTTCCCCCTCCCCCAGAGGAAGACCCTGGACCTATCTCTACAGCCGGCTTCGGCCCAGGCCAGTGGGAAGACACTGCCGATCCCGGTGCAGATCACACTCCGCTTCAACCTACCCAAGGAGCGCGAGGCCATCCCCGGCGGCGAGCCTGACCAGCCCCTCTCCTCCAGCTCCTGCCTGCAGCCCAACCACCGTTCCACGGTACCCTCGGATTCCACTCTTCACCTGGAGCTCCGGAGCCCAGCTCTCATCCCCACTGTTCCTTGTGAGCTCGCTTCCCTCCAAGACCCAGGTCCCCTGCCCCTTTGACCCACCTTTCTCGGTCTCTCTCTGCAGAAACGAAAAGTGGAAGTGGTTTCGCCAGCAACTCCCGTGCCCAGCGAGACGGCGCCAGCCTCTGTCTTTCCTCAGGTGTGTGCTTGAGGCCCCTTCGGTGCCCCTGAGCCCATGCCCTGGAGCCCCTCAGCTTACTCTGCCCTTCCCCCTCCCGTGTCTCCACAGAATGGCTCAGCCCGGAGGGCGCTGGCCGCCCAGCCAGGACGGAAGAGGAAGTCCAACTGTCTAGGCACCGACGAGGTGGGTCTGGGGAGGAAGGAGAAGAAGGAGCCGGGTTCTGGGGGGTGGCATGCTCATCTCCCTCCCTGCCCTGCGGCCACTGACAGGACTCCCAGGACAGCTCGGACGGAATCCCGTCAGCCCCACGCATGACAGGCAGCTTGGTGTCCGACCGCAGCCACGACGACATCGTTACCCGCATGAAGAACATCGAATGCATCGAGCTGGGCCGCCACCGCCTCAAGCCCTGGTACTTCTCCCCGTACCCCCAGGAACTGACCGCTCTACCCGTGCTCTATCTCTGCGAATTCTGTCTCAAGTACGGGAAGAGCCTCAAGTGTCTGCAGCGTCACCTGGTATGTGACCAGGCCTCTCTTCCCTGGCCTCCCTTGTCGACTGATGGCCTACTGTGTGCCAGGCACTGTGCAGAGCTCTGGGGAAGGAAAGAAAGGCAAAATCCCAGTCCTTGCCCCCAGGAGCTCACGATCAGACTGGGGAAATGAGCTTGGGTCCTTATGTGCAGATGAATAGAGAATAGGTGGGAGGGAGCCTTAGCAGGGAGAGGCCAAGCAGCTGGTCAGGCTGGGCTGGGCTGGCCAGGAAAGGCCTCCTGCAGCAGGTTGGGGTTGAACCAGTGAGCCAGGGATTGTCAGAGGGAAGGTGTGCTGGGCCAAGGAGGCCTGGAGATGAGCTCCTGCTGCCGTCCCACATGTCTTCCCCTGCCTCACACGCTTCTTCCCCACATCTGTTCCTCAGACCAAATGTGACCTGCGGCATCCCCCGGGCAATGAGATTTACCGCAAGGGCACTATCTCTTTCTTTGAAATTGATGGGCGTAAGAATAAGGTGAGTGGAAATGGGGGCGTGGGGCCGGGTGGCAGTTGGGTCCTTCTGGGCCAGACTCATCTCCCAGGACTGGACTTGGGACGATAAATTAGCAGATTCAGATGCTTTGAATACATACTGGCTAAATTGACGCACCAAATAAATTCCCAAATGGGACCACTTTATTCTCTGCCTGAACTCGTCAGTCCAGAGTTATAAAATACTTTTACAAAGGGTCCAGCAGTTCACCAAAGGTCTGGTCAAGGAGTTTGCATGGAATCCCTCCCTCTGGTGGCATCTCTGAAGCCTCCAATGCTATGAAGGAGTCATCCCTGCTAAAGAGTGTTTGGCTTTGGCAAAGCGCCATAGGCCTTTCCTGGCCCTGACCTGCGTGGACAGGCCATGGGCCTGCTCAGCGTCCCTCAGAGGGAAGCTTGAGGCTGAGGATGGGTCCTGGGCATGCCTGTGCTATCTTGCTGATGGCCACCCCCTCTTTCCCCCCCAGAGCTATTCCCAGAACCTCTGTCTCTTGGCCAAGTGTTTCCTGGACCACAAGACCCTGTACTATGACACAGACCCATTCCTCTTCTACGTCATGACCGAGTATGACTGCAAGGGCTTCCACATCGTTGGCTACTTCTCCAAGGTCAGCCCCTGGGTGTCCCAATCCTCTCCTGTCTGTCGGTCCCGGCGCTGCCCTTCCCCAGCTCCTGTCCTCCTCTTCTCCTCAGCCCACCATCATGCTCACAGTGCCCTTTCTCTCTCCTTTAGGAAAAAGAGTCCACAGAGGATTACAATGTGGCCTGCATTCTGACCCTGCCTCCGTACCAGCGGCGTGGCTATGGCAAGCTGCTCATTGAGTTCAGTGAGTGCGGGAAGGGCAAGGACGGAGCTGCCCAGGGCTGGGCATGGCTCTGGGCGTGGCTCTGGTTACAGCTGAAGATGCTGAGGTGGCCACCAGGGTTAGCCCTCTTACTGTTAGAGGGGGCCGGATGAGGGAGGGAGGACCTGCCCTCGCTGGGAGGGAAGAAGGTGAGCCCCTGTGAGGCACCAGGTGTAGCCGAAGCAGTGCTGGAGAGGACAGACAGGCACGTGGACTGTGCTGAGAGCGGCGGTCGGGGCCTTTTGGGGAAGAGGCATCCCCTCCTCGCAGACAGAGCCGGGCGTGCCTCATTTTGCTCCTGTCTTCTTTGCCAATGAGGAGGATGTTTGACGGGAGGTGCCGTCACCCAGATGGCCAGTGATGAGTAGGGCCCAGATGAGCTCCATCCCAAGAGTCCCAAGGAGAGGAGGATGGGTGGAGACAAGGTGGGAGAAGGGCAGGTGTGGATGCTGTCCAGTCTCGCACGCAGGAGGGGCCAAAGTGTGCACCGGCTCAGTGAGTCCTACTAATTCCTGGGAAGGCTCTTGAGCACATCAGAGAGGTAGCGAGTTCAGGAGAGGTCGCAGTCCTGCCTGACCAGTGATGTTTTCTTTTTCTGGGTGTTTATATAAGTTATCACATATTGTCTGCTCCCGCATCTCATGCTCTTCTGTAGAAAAGACAAGGAGATGCAGTACAGACAACGAGAGAGTTAGACAGACTTGGCCAGAGGGCCGCTCTCCCAGAGTGGCGGATGGTTGAGTGTCTTCTTGGCAGGTCTGCAGGGCAGGGCCCCGGGGATCTGAACGTGGCTCTGTGCCATTCGGTGCTTTTCTCGCCGTCTTGGATAAAGGCATCGATGGCCTGCAGAGTTCCCACCCTGGACGACAGAGGCAGGGTCCCAAAGGAGAGGCCGGAGCTGGGCAAAATGTCATCAGATGGTATTCAGTAGGGACGAATGTCAGGTCTTGCAGCTAGATTTAAACCGTCATTCTCATAAATATAAGGTATGTGTGTTGAGGCGGGGGAGGTCCTTAGCGACCGTGAGCTCTGGAGGCGTCAGCAGTGAGATGGGGCCCCCAAGAAAGCTGTGCTACAAGATGTCTGGCCTCTGGGATGAGGCCGAGGATGGTCCCGCTGTCCTGGGCCGTGGTCAGACCTCGTGTGGAGGCTTAGGTTCATTTCTAGGGGTCCCTGTTTAAGAAGGATGTGAAGGTGAAGGGTCCAGAGTGGGGCAGCCAGGATGATGAAGGGCCTGGAGTCTAAGACCAAGGCACTGGAGAAGCGGAGATTTGGGGGGGGACGAGTATTCCAGTATTCGAGGGCCTGCCGGCTGTGTGGTCGTGTGTGTGTGCGCGCGCACGCCTGCCTGGCCACCTTCACAGCGTGTAGGCCACCCCGAGGGTAGGAGGCCGCCTCCGGAGGTGGTGCTGTCCCACCTGTCAGGGATTTCTGGGGTGACTCCTCACCCAGCAGCCCCTCTGTTCCCCTTGTCCGGAGGAGGTCGCTGTGGACGGGGCAGCACCGCACGCACGGTGCAGCGCTGGCTGGGAGATGGAAGGGCTGGGAAGATGAATGCTTAGTGTGCGCTGGGCCCTGGAGGCACAGAGGCTACGACATCAGGAGCTTGCATTCCTTTGAGGGAAAACAGCATGGACAGAGACAATGCAAAACGACCCCTGAGCATTTAGTGAGCGCCTACTGTGTGCCAAGCACTGGGAGCACAGAGGGGTGGAAGGGAGTCCCTGCCCTCAGGCAGGAGAAAACATGCAGATATCTGTGCGCCAGCGTCAACACCAGCAAGTTCTGTGCAGGGGAAATAGAAAAGGGGAAGGCTTCCTGCAGGAGGCGGGCTTTAGCTGGGCCTTGGCCTGTCCAGGCTCGGGGACGGCCAGAGAGAGGGAGGCAGCAGGAGGCCGAGATCACCAGATAGAGGAGTACAGTAAGGGGGCAGCTCGGTGGCATGGTGGATAGAGATCCGGCTTTGGAGTCAGGAGGACTCGAGTTCAGATCTGGCCTCAGACACTAAACACTTACTAATTGTGTGACCTTGGGGAAGTCACTTAACCTTGATTGCCTCACCAAAAAAAGCAAAAAAAAAAAAAGAGTACAGTAAGGGGTTGGAAGACTGCAAAGGTGGGAGGGGACCAGGTTATGGAGGGCTGTGAAGACCAAACAGAGAATTGTGTATCGCAGTCTGTTGAGTAGGGGGTGACAGGACCAGACCCGGGCCTGAGGAACATCTCTTTGGTGGCTGAGTGGAGGATGGACAGGAGTGGGGAGAAGCTTGAGGCAGGTTGCTGCCCCCTTCCCCCGCGACTCCTGCAACAGTTTGGGGATGAGGGTCTGCACCAGGGTGGAGGCTGGGGCAGAAGGGAGCATGTTGGAGAGATGGGCAGCAGCCTAGACGTGGTAGGTGAGAGATGGTGAGAGGCTGACTCTCGGGGTGGGAGTCTGAGGTCTGAGAGGATGGAGCGGAGGTGCCCTCTGTGTAATAGGAAGGTAGCGGAGAGGGCCCCGGGGGGGAAGTTCTGTCGTGGACATGTTGAGTATAGGCGTTTACTGGCTGTCTGAAAGGGCATGGGAGGTCAGCAAAGCAGTGGTTGGGGCAGGAGAGGCGGATGTGAGAATCCTCAGCCTAGAGAAGGCTGTTGAATGCATGGGAGCTAATGAGGCTGCCAGGTGAAGCAGCCTACCAGGGGGCCCAGGCCAGAGCCACGAGGGACCCCTGTGGTTAGAGGGTGGGATCTGGAGGAGTATCCAGCCAGGAGACGGAGGTCACTGGACTCGGCAGCTAAGAGCACTGACGTGTTGCCATGTCCTTCCCAGCTTTGTTTTCCCCAAATCCACGTTCCCCCCAACCCCAGGATGGATGGATGGTGGGGGATGGCCAGGGGGCAGTGTACTGGAGGCCTTGGAAAGGGCTAGGCTTGACCCAGAATGAACGGCCTGGGAAGAGGAGGGGAAAGCTCCAGAGACAGGGTGGCTCACTGCGCCTCCCCGGCTCTCTTCTGTAGGCGAAGATGCCCCAGGGCTTTGTGGCTTTATTGGGTGCTTGCTCTGGGCAGTGGCAGACTCTGCTGGGGAGAGGCCCCCTAGAGTGCCATGATGAGGGCCCTGATCTGTGCCCCAGACGTGAGGGAGGGTGGTCTATTTTGGAGTGTGCCCGGCCTTTTCTTTCTCAGGATTTCCCCTCCTCTTCTTCCTAAATTATAGTTGGCCAGAGGGTTTCAAGTACGCCCCCCACCCCAGTTTCCTTCTTCCCCACAGGGCTTGTATTTCTGAAAGTACTTAAAGCACTTTGTGGTCCTTCCTGACCTAAGGATGGCCTGAAGGCTCCCCCCCCCCCGAATGTATGTTCCAGCTGCCAAAGGCCCCCTTCAGTGGGAGAGGCCTGGCACAGACTCCCAACCCCACTCAACCAGCTCCTGTGGGTCGGGCCTGGCAGCTGGGCACACTTGGCATTGCCCACATCTCAGGTGCCCTCCCACTCCCCAGTGTTCTCCTTCCTCTTGCCCGTACCCCAGTCGTATTAGAGCTGGAATCAGGCAGAGGTGCTTTACCTGCTGCTGAAGTGAGCCCTTGGAAGGCCCCTCACCTGCACGAGAGCGCACCACCTCCCCAGGGTGGTCAGACTCAGGTCGTAGCTGCTGTTCCGCTGGCCTCTGGGACTGTCCTGGCACTCTCAGAGGCTGCCACCTCCTAGTGCATTAGCCTTGAGTAAACAAAACAGCACCTTTCAGTGTCTATGGGGTTCTTCTAGGGGAGTGGGGTCCCCAGAAAGCAGAGCCAGGAGCTGCCCAAGGAAGGTGCGAGAGATAGATTTTGGCTCAGACGATAGGAGGAAAAACTGCCTGACTCTTGGAACTGTCCCAGTGTGAGAAATGGGCTTCCTTAGGAGAGCTGTGGAAGTCGAGAGTGGGGTCAGTGTCTGGGCCAGCGCTGGGCCAGTGTAGGCCTAGCAGGGGGCAGGAACTTGCTCCTTTTGGGGGAGGGGGCTGTTCTTTCTCTGAGAGCTGAGGTAGAGGAGAAATCCAAGTGTAAGGAGAAGCTGGTCTGCTTTGTGATGCAGTAGCTCAGGGCTGGCGTCTTTAAAGAGGGGGCACGGCCCCTCTCTGCCCCACCCCAAAAGTCTCAGAAGCAGCCGGCCGTTCCTCACACCTGAAGTCCCTGCTTCCCCGGGGGAGGGGTCCCCAGAAGGAGCTGCGACCTCCTCTGTAAAACGAGGGGGTCGAGTGAAGGCACTTCAGAGTGCAGGTGTCCGTCCTGGCAGCCTCAGCACCGCAGACCCTTGCCAAGTGTCCCTCATTTCCCGGGAACCTTTGAGTGCCCAGTGCCAGGGGCTGTAGACAATGGAAGAGTTTGCCCCTGACTCCTCTGTCCACTTTCCCTGCAGGCTATGAGTTGTCTAAGGTGGAAGGGAAGACGGGGACCCCCGAGAAACCCCTCTCGGACCTTGGCCTCCTGTCCTATCGGAGCTACTGGTCACAGACCATCCTGGAGATTCTCATGGGACTTAAGTCGGAGAGCGGCGAGCGGCCCCAGATCACGATCAAGTGAGCCCTGTCCCTTGGTGGGCGCGGGGTGGGGTCGGGGGAACCGGGATGGCCCGTGACCCCCGTGCCCATGCCCCACAGTGAGATCAGCGAGATCACCAGCATCAAGAAGGAAGACGTCATCTCGACCCTGCAGTACCTCAATCTCATCAACTATTACAAGGTAGGAGGGCGGGCTCCCTCCTCTGGGGACAGCCCAGGCTGCTCGGGGGGGCGGACGACCACAGCCTGCCACGAGGGGACCGGGCCTCCGCGACCGGCACGTACCTGCTCTCCTTCCCCACCGCTGGCCGTGTCCAAGATGGCGCCTCCCTCCTGGCCCTCGGGGATCCCGGCTGGCTGTTGAGAGCTGGGTGGTTTGGGGTGTCTGAGCCCACCCCCGGTCACTGCTTCCCCTCCCGTGACTTGTTCGGCCCCTCCCCCCAGGGGATGGGCCCGCCTCAGTTTCGGATGCTTTGCCCCTCAAGAAGGCCAGCTGTAAATATTGGGTCCTGGCCCACTGGGCCTAGGAGTGGTACAGCCAGGTCAAAGGGCACGTACATGTGTTTTCAGTGCCTTTCTGGGCCTCATTCTTTGTGCTCTACAGAGTCACGGGGGCTGGTCACAGCTGCGCCTCAGGGGACTTCTTTCCACAACGTTCCTCTGATGTATGTCGTTTACTCTATCGCTGACTGCCCTTCTTTGAGTCCCTGTTGACTTGACCTGCCTCCTTCCCTCCCCAAGGGCCAGTACATCCTGACACTGTCAGAGGACATCGTGGATGGCCACGAGCGAGCCATGCTGAAACGGCTTTTGCGCATTGACTCCAAATGTCTACACTTCACCCCCAAGGACTGGAGCAAACGGGGAAAGTGGTGACCTCCTCTCCTTCCCCTGTGCCACGCCTCCTCTGCTGCTTGGGCTGGACCACACGGGACCCTGGCCAGGAAGGGCCTTCCTCCGGGCTCGGCTCGGCCTTGAGCACGTGAGCTGCTGACATGGGAAGAGGGAGACGCTGGGGGTTAGAGACTGTGGTACCTGCAACAGGACGTTCTGCCCACCCAGGGGCTGCTGGGGCTTGGGCCCACGTGTACAGAAAGCTGGGTAGCTATGTATAGTGATGGGGAGAGGGCGGGCCAGCGGGAGGCTTTGTACAGGGGGCTGGGTGGGGGTGTACAGTTGTTTTGTAAAGCGTGAGCCAGAGGGGCTGCAGGAGAGCATGGCCTGGGACGCTCCTGCCTTGCTTCGTCTGCAATAAACTGTTTCTACAGACCCAGGTCTCTTTCTCGGGGGCCGGGAATGGGGAGATGCCACGGGCGCACACACAGTTTCCAAAAACTTTTATTTTATCTGGGGGATGGGGTGTAGATGGACACAAAGTTTGGGCTCCAGCTGTTTCTTCAGTCGTCCTCCTCGGCCACAGGCGCATGGATCTGTAAGGGACAGACAAGAGCTGCAGGCCCAGGTCTGGTGCCACTACTCAGGATGGGTGGGGAGGCCGGGCTGCCGGAGAGCCCTGGGCTTGAGCCCGGAAAGAGAACAGGAAAGCCCTGGCGACCAGCGGCTCACTGCACAGATGCCAGAGGCTGCCCCCCCCCACCCCCCCGTCCAGGCTGCAGAGGGTTAAGGGGCCTTCCAGAAATTTGTCTGAATTGAGGGATGTTGCCCCAGTCCAGACATTACCATCTAGGGGTCTCCTCAGGTGGAAGGGGGAAGAGACCTCCCTTCCAGTGATGGGAATTGGATGGGGGCATAGAAGAGGGCCCACGGAGGGGCTGGGGGTCCCTGAGCTAGGATACTCACAGCAGTGGCCAGGCTGGGCCAGCTCAGGGCTCTGTGCATCCTGGCATTTGGCCCTGGGGGGGCCTCCAGGCCCCAAAGTGTAAAGCAGCTAAAGGTACCAATGGCCTGGACGGTCCGATCCTGAGGAAGGACCCAATAAGGAATGATCCGTAATGCTGGGATGGAGCCAGGTCCCGCTCCCCCCAAGCCCGAGGTGCCCGCCGACCTCTGGCCCCCACCCCTGAGATGCCCACCGACCTCTGGCCCCCACCCCCGAGATGCCCACTGACCTCTGGCCCCTCAGACTTGTCTTCCCGAAGCACCAGCCCCATGTAGCCAGAGGGCAGTGTCACCTCTTCTCCGTGCAGGCTGCGGCCCCTGAAGGACACCACTGGCCCTGGGGCAAGGAGGGGACACCACAGGTCAGGGACATCATGTGACATGTGACCTCTGCTCTACACCCAGCCCAGGGGGCCAGCACACGTCGTCCCCCCCACCCCACTGGGCAGTGACTTTATCCAGGGCCTACAGAGACACACAAAGTATAGTAGAGACGTCTCAAGCCACTTTTCCCTCTCTGGGCCTCAGTTTCTTGCAGTCTGTGAAATGAGCCTCTCCTCTGCTCAAACACCTTCCCTGGCTCCCCACTGCTTGCCCTGGAGAGGTCCAGGACCTGCTCAACTGCTGGGAGTGCCCCAGCTTGTTCCCTGGGCCTAGACTGCCGACCCCTCCTCCAGGAAGGCTTCCCAGATGCTGCAGGGAAGGGAGGAGGGTGAAGCAGAGAGCTGGGGTGCCAGCCCCTCACCATAACACTGTTATGTCAGAGCCCTGTCAATTTGTGTCTCAACCCCCTCCTAAACTTGTGGGTCAGAAGAGGCAGCTGTGGGTCTGTGAGAAGGGCGAATTCATAGCCAAAGGTGCTGGGTTCAAATCCCTGCTGTCACTAATATAGTGTGAGGCCTCGGTTTCCCCATGCCTAAAATGAGGGTTTAGGATCGATGGCCTGAGGTCTTCTGGGATCCCTACACCCGTCCTTGACCAGTGAGCTCCAGGAGGGCTCTGCACACAGCAAGGGCTTAGTTAGTTCATGAACTCATAACCCTTGGACGAATGACACCACCAGGTATTCGTCATCCTCCCCACCACCACCCCGTCCGGGCGGGAGGGGCCGGTCCCTGCTCCTCCTCTGGCTCTACCCCTGTCTCAGAGAGCAGACAAACAGCGAGCCCGACTTCCTTTTCCGGGAGGGCCTCGTGGCGCCTGCGCACACGGAGCGCATGACGTCTGCTAAGCGCCTCTCGCTCGACCCCCTCCCCGTTATTCCGCGGGCCGATGGGAATTGTAGTCCGTTCCCGCCCAGCCCCACCGCGCATGCTCCTGGCACCTGAGGACCCCGGCCGGATGGCCGGGCTGAAGAAGCGACTGACGGCGGCGGGTCCGTTGTGTTGGATCTCGCACGGCAGCAGGTGCAGCGGCGTCTGCGCCGCGGCTCGCACGGAGCTCGGCTGCAGCCGGATGAGACCCGGGACCGCGGGGGCTGCGCCGTCCGGCATGCTTTCCCTGTGCGCGTGCGCTGCTGCGGGGGATGCACTCGGAACTCGCGCCGAAGGCTGCGCGCCGTCTCTGCGCTTGCGCTCTGCGTGCGACCCCATGGGAGCCGTAGTCCACAGTAGTCGGGCGCGCTGACGCCACCGACGCCGCGGGCCGAAATTCACGGGAAGACGGAAGTAGTTGTGGTGCTTTGTGGGTAGCTAGTGCGAAGGCCTCCCGTGATCCCTAAGCCTAGGCGCGTTCCGGGCTTCTGCTGTAGCCCCCGGGGCCCTGCTGCTCCAGCCTTTCCTGAGAAGGGGAAAGGATCAGGGTCACTTTTTTTTCCCTTAAATTCAATTTTTATTTTCGGTTGCGAATTCTCTCCCTCCCACCCGCTGAGAAAGCAAGAAAAAACACAAGTCCTTACGTTGATTATCGAAGCAAATAATCCCGTTGGCTAAGTTTAAAAAAATTCCCTCTGCACCCTGAGTATCCGTCCCTTAGCAAGTGGGCAGTCTGATTTGTCCCGAGTCCGCCGGGTCCAAAGTTCCAGCGTTTGTCTTTGCGATGCTGTTACTGTATAAATTGTTGGCTGGTTCTGCTCATTTCACTTTGCATCCGTTCACACAAGTCTTAGTCCCAGGGAAAGCTGCTTAGACTTCTCTCGTGGGACGTGGGGGAAAGCTGCTTCCTTGAGGAAGCCTGGTCCTGGGGCAAATCGGAACTGTGGGGAGATCCTTTTCCTGTCCTTTCAGGCTGTCTGTCCTCCTGGCTGGAAGCTTCCCTTCAGGACTGCCCACTACGGCTCCCCCTCATCCCTTGTTCCTGCCCTTGACTCCCACATTTAGGGAGGCAGCATGAGGTCATGGAAAGGGGGGATGAATTTGGAGCTGGGTGACATCGGGAAAGTCACTTCTCTTGGGGTGTTTCCTGTAATAGACCATCTTTCAGGTCCCCTTTCAGCTCCAAATCTGCGCTCCTGCGATCCCTAAGAGAGCCGAGATTGTTGAAAAGATGGCCAGTCGTGCCACCTAAGCAAAGGATTACTAGACTCAAGCAAGACTCAGTAAACATTTGCCTGCTGGGCCCCTCAACACTGTGCCAACCCTACACACAGCCTTCTTTTACTAGAGAAAAAAAAAAAGGAAACCACGGACTTTTCACCAATAAGCAAGCCTTTATGAACAGGGGGAATGAGCAGCAGGGGCCCCAGTCTCCCCCTGGCCCTATTCCTGTCCTCCCCAAACCAGTGTCTTCCAGCAAGGATCACCCTCCCTCCTCAGAGAGTAGCCCCCAAGCCTCGGAGATATTCCCCAGCCAGAGGCAGTATGGCCCAATCATCTGTTCTTAGGGCCACCCTCACCCCATCCTCCCCAGCAGCCTCCAGTTGCAGCAGCAGCTGAGAGCTAGGGGGGAGCCGGATGGCCACCTGGTAACTGGTGGGGGGGGTGGCAGACATGACAAAAGGCTCCCAATGCTTGGTCACCAGAGTCTCTAGTGCCTGGCCCCACCAGGGGCCCCACATGCAACTCTCTGCTCCCCCAGGAAGGCAGGAGGCCCAGAGCTCGTGGAAGGTCTGAGGGTGGGTCACCTGTGGAGAAGATGGCGGCAAAGGCAAAAAGAGATCAGCAAAAGCAATGGGAAGGCTGGGCAGCTGTGCATAGCAGGTGAGGCCACTGGGGGTGGCATAGAGGACGCTGATGTCCAGGAGAGCCGGGTAGGGACGCCGGGGCTCCAGGGGAAGGAGCAGCAGCTTGGGGGACGCACCAGGGCGAAGGCAGGGGACCTGCACGGCCTTTAGTGGCTCATAGTATGGCCCCAGGATGCGGAAGCGTAGCTCCAGTGAGTAGAGGGTCTCAGAGGCTTCCACAGTGAGGCCCAGGATCACGGGGGGCTCCTTGGCCTGCCGAGAAACCCGCCTCAGCTGCAGTGGGGCCTGGGCCTCCTGGACAGTCAGAGCTGAGGCAAAGCCCTCATTCTCCTCCACCAGGGAAGAGCCCAGCATGGGTGTGGAGCGCGTGGGGCCCAAGGCTGAGCCCAGCTTAGGCCCCGACAGGTGGGTAAACAGGCTGTAATAGAGACGGCCCCGATCTCGGCTGTCAGGGTCATCCAGGCCCCGGGCCAGCTCCTGCAGCAGATTGGCCAGGTCCCGGGGGCCAGCCCCACTAAGCTCTGTCCCCCTTAGGAGGGCCCGGCAGGTCCCAAGGAGGGCCTGCTCCCAGGCCCAGTCCCCACCCTGGCCTAGGGCTGCCCACAGGAAGCCCAGTGTGGGGCCCAAGGGTTGAGCCCCAGCCACCTTGGTAAGAATCTGTAAGTGCCACTGAAGGGCTTGGGCCCCACCAGCACCAGCCACTGCCACCTGCTGCAGGGCCTTGCCCAGGGGCTCTGCCAGCACCTCTCTGGCCTGCTCTAGAAGGTCAACAAAATGGGGGGCCAGGCAGGGCCGGGCTTGGTACAGTTCTGCCAGGCCCTTTGTGAGCTGAGCCAGGGCCCCTGGGTGGCTGGCTAAGCAGCGAGTAGCCAGGTAGGAGGCCCGGAAACAGAGGGTGACTGAACTCCGGGGGGCCCCTGGCTGAGCTGCCCCCTGCCTCAGGCTGGCCAGCAGCCTCTGGAGGTAACCCAGGGCCCGATCCTCTGTGCCCTGGCAGTCCCTGCTCCCATCAGCACTGAGCTCCTCCCCACACAGGAGACACAGAAGATGTAGCCGGGCTAGGAGATCAGGGGGGTCCTGCAGCAGACTGGGCAGAAGACCTGTGGCCAGGCTGGGGGTGAGCAGAACTGGGGTGCCTTCCTCCCCTGCAGGCCCCAAGGGCCAGTTCTCAGGGAAGTGCAAGAGGCAATGGAGGTAGAAGAGGCGGGCAGGGGACGGCAGGGCTGGGTGCTGGGCAGCACCCACCAGCCTCCGGAGCAGCAGAGCTTCGTCCTGGGCCGTGAAGAGGGCCTCCCCGAAAGTGTCCTTTGCGGCCAGCACGGCATGCAGCAGGGAGACCCTGGCCGTGCCCAGCAGCCGCACCAGCTGCGGCTTCAGGAGGGCAGGGGGCTGACCACGAACGGCCCTCAGCACCTGGCTCAGCTGCTGCAGCATCTGGGCCTGGGCTGGCGGGGTCAGCAGGTAGGACAAGTCCAGCAGCTGGGATACGGCAGCCCGCAGCTCCCGGGCCTCAGGCGGGGGGAGATCCAGGGGGGCCGGCGCCGGGCTCTGCCCAGTCCCCTTCCTGGCCTAAAGGCACTGCTGGATCCCAGATGTCCTCTCCGGCCAGGGTCCAGTCCCACAGCCCAGGCCACTGGGCTCCTGGTGCTTCCAGGCTCCAGTCCCAGGCCTGGATCTCTCCACCCTGGGGTCTGTCGGTTCTGGCCACCAGCAGCCCGTGCAGCCCCGCTGGGGCCCCAGGGCCCACTTGGGCCAGGGCTCTGAGGGCATTTCGCAGAGTAATCACAAAGAGCAGGCAGTGGGCTTGGGTAGCCCGGCTGTCCTGCAGAGCCCGCAGCAGCCCCAGCTGGCCGGCCAGCAGCCCGGGGCGACAGCTCTCCAGCTCCCGAAGGCACTCACACGCAGTGGCCTGCAGGGCTCGCTGCTCCTGACCCGTGGCCCGGCCTGAGGCTGCCCGCAACAACACGGGCAGCAGGCGGGATGTGGCTGCCGAGGCCGGAGCCAGGGCCCCACAGGCCGCCAGGACGCTAGTGGCGGCCAGCAGCAGGGGCCGACGCAGGGCCGCGGGCCGCGGGGGCAGGAGGGCCAGTGTGTCCAGCAGTGCAGAGACGGCTGCCTCGGCTGCGGTGGGGTCGGGCCACAGCTGCGTGGGGAACTCCATGATCACAGACAGCAGAGAGCCCTGGGGAAGGAGAGGAGGGTCAGTCTGGACGCCAGGGCTGGGGCCCGGGGGTCACAAGGAAGTCAGGGGGTTGGGGGCTCAGGGATCTGGGAGGTCGAGGCGTGTCAGGCGCTGGGGTGAGCTGAGGGGCCGAGGGCGGGCGGACGGAGATCTGGGGGGTCAGAGTGGGGGTCGGAGGCCCCGGGGTCGGGGGCCGGGGCTCCCACCTTGGTGGGCTCGCTCTGCCTCTCGCTGCGCAGCTCGCTCAGCAACTCGGCGGCCAGACCCTCTGCCCCGGCCCTGGCCACGAAGGCGGCCGGGCTGGCCCTCAGCGCCGCCAGCACCCGGGCCCACGCGTCCGCGCTGCGCGGAGCCATGGCCCCCCAGCCCCGCTGCGGCCGAGGGAGGGAGCAGGACGCGCCGCGGGGGGCCGAGTGCTATGGCGGAGACCTCACTTTTCAGGCTTCGTCCCTCCCCCAGAAGCGCTGCCCTCCTTCCTGTTTCCCTCTCCGTCCGCCAGGAGGGGTCCGAGGTCGCAGGACCTGCCCCGCCCCGCCCTCTCCCCATCCTCGCGTGCTGAAGTCACCCGGGAGGGTGGCGTGGCGTGGATGGGGCGGAGGAGGGGTGTCGAGGTCGAGGGAGCTGGGAGCGCCCGGGTCCACACTGGGACTCCGGGGACCCTAGACCTTGCATTTGGGCGGAGCGCTAACTGCAGTTCTCGTGACCGCGTTAGTTCGGGCCGGGGTCCCAGGGCTTCCCCCCGAGAGCGGGTGAGCACGACAAGTACGCAGCGCGGGCCAAGAACGCGGAGGGGGGCGATGGCGGCGCCGCAGGAGAACCCCAGGGTTCAGTCCCCTCCAGGGGGCAGCCGCGGGCTGCAACTGGAACCCGCGTCCGGGGGCGGGGGCGCCCCGACTCGGCCCGCCCGTCTGCCCCTGCCGGCACCGAAACCCGGGCGCCGCCCCCGCCCCCCTAACGGGCCGGCCCGAGGGGGGGGCGGGGCAGTAACGGGGCGGCCCCAGCGGGGGGGGGCCGGGCAGGCGCCGGCTCGTCGGTTTCGCTGGGGCTGAGTAACTGTTACTCTGCCACCGCGGGGGGGGGGGAACCGCCTCTCCCCGAAACCGCCGGGCGTGGGGGCGGGGCAGGCGCCCTCTGGCCCTCGAGCTCCGGCGTCCGCCTCCGGGGAGACCCCCGGGCTGCCCCCAAAGCCGTCCTACTTCCGTCTCCCCCTCCCAGGCAGGGCTGGCTGGGAGGACCCCACGGCTGACCCCCTCCAGGAAACGGGTCCCTGGGACCCGGGGCCTGGGCGGGACTGAGCGTGCCCTGAGAGCCCCACCTGGGAGTCTGCTGGCCGGCCCTGCTCCCAGAACCGGTCTGGCCAGGCTGCAGACACTGGGCGGGCTGGGCTTGGCCTCGTGGACCCCACCCCTGGGCCCGGGTCTCTGCTCCCTGGCAGGCTGGGGGCAGTGGGCACCCTGGCCCCCTCCTGGGGAAGCTCCCCTGGCTGCAGGACAAGCCTGGCTAACCAGGGGCCCCCCCCGGGTCATGCTAGAGCCCTGGGCATTAAGGGGCACCCTGGGGCCCTGCAGACCTCCCACCCTTCATAATAAATGCCCTCAACGTCAGAGCTGCCCGGCTTCTGGACTTGGAGTCAGGAAGACTTGGTTTCAAATCCTGCCTGGGAGGGCCCTTTGGAACCCTGGCCATTCCAGCTGGGAGGGACAGTGGCAATCTCCCAGTTCAACCAGCCTTTTACAGATGAGCAAAGGGAGGTCGTGTCCCCCTGGGGTGCCTGGCCACACACCTCCCTCCCTCCCTCCCTCAGCACAAAGCATTTTGCCCTGGCATCATGCCAGCCTGGAGCTGTAGGCAGCACTTGGCACCTTTGCCAGCTGCTGGCAGTACTCCCCCTCTGGGTAGGGGTTATGGAAAGCCTTCATGGCAGCCCGAGAGGCAGTGGGCCCAAGCTGATCATGGCCATTTGACAGATGCAGAAACCCAGGCCCAGGATTGCCCAGAGCAGGAGGGAGGGGGAAGACCCAGGCCTTCAGACTCTGGTGGTCCTTTGGACTGCCCCTTGATTCTGCTCGGACTCAAGCTCAGGCTCCCAAGCCCAAGAGAGACGGAAGGTCCCAGTGGCCCATCTCTACAGGACCGGGACTACTAGGAGTGCAGACTGGCACCCACAGCCTGCTCCCTGATGCCCTTCGGTCGTAATTAGCCCAGGGCTTTGAAGCACCAGTGGGCCAGGTGAGTGTTCCCAGGCCTGGGCCCTCACCCCCCACCCCCGGCCCAGTTGCCCTGAAGGGGAAGGGGAAACCTCAGTGTGGGAGAAGAAAGGCCCATGGGGCCCAGACAGCAAGCCCCCCAGGGGGTGGGGGAGAGGCCTAGCAGAGACAACCTGGTGTGTAGGGCGAGTGGGCAAAGACCTCCCCAGGGACTGGTCTGCCGGCACCTCTGAGTCAGCCAGGCCCCCAGCCTGCTGTCGGCTCAGCTCCTGACTCACCACACCCCAGCCCCAACTACTTCCCTCTAGGTGCCTCAGTTTCCCTGGATATAAAACAGGGATAATGACCCCCAAGAGGCTGGGGGTGGGGAGGCCTCCTGGGTAATTAGCAGCCAAGATGAAAGAGGGAGGCCAGAGATGAGAGGAGACAGCAGGTGGGGGTGCCCTGGGACAGACGGTTTTATTTGACCATCAGGTCTAGGAGCCGGCGCCATGGGCCCTGGCAGAGAGGCCTCGGCTCTGCCTCTCCCGAGCCCCTTTCCTCTTCAGAGCCTCAGTTTTCTTCTCTGGTAGATCCAGAAGCAGCTCCCAAATCCCTGGCAGGCCTCCCCAAGGAGCTTAGGGCCCCAGCTCACGGCCTTTGGAACTAGTCCTGGCACCGCGCCCGGGGGCACGGCCTTCCTCTTCACTAGGGAAGAACCTATCAGTGGTGTCTGGAGCTGCCTCAGATAAGAGGGAGACAGGGGCCGGTTGTGACTGGTGGTTTGTCCAGAGCAGAAAAGCAGGCGTAGGTCAGTCCCAGCCCAGCCAGGGCAGCCCTCAAGCTCCCCTCCGTCTTCTTCCTGCCCCCTTCCATCTGGCTGAGTCTCCAGAGGGCCTCTGCTGACCTGAAGGTGGCCAGTGTGTGTGACCTTCGATGAGGTGAGATCCTATCAGCACCCAGGGCTCCTGAGGAAACCACGGGGGACACTTGAGGCTGCAGCCCGTCTCCCATTTAATAGTGACTCACACTTCAGGATGTTTGAAGGTTCAAAATGTTTTTCTCCCAAGAGGCCTGGGAAGCAGGCAGCACAAAGATTATCTCCATTTTACAGAGAAGGAAACTGAGGCTTAGTGCGGCCCAGACTCAGCTTGCCTCTCTGTCACAGAACTAGGAAGGCGGGACTACAGGGCTCGAAGCCAGATCTCCCCACCGTTCCACGGCTGCTTCCGATACCAGGCTCCCCTCGTGAAGGGCCCCACTGCCGCCTTTCCCAAGGCTTCCCTTGTGGCCCTGCCTGGACAGGGGCGCACCAGCCTCGGGGATTCGGAGCTGGAAGGGGCGTCAGAGGCCGCCCCGACCAAACGCTTTGTTTTACCGAGGATCCCGCCACAGGGACCTGGCAGAGGCAGGCAGGAGGGAGCCAGGACACCCCAGGAGATTCCAAGCTCCCTTCAGGCAGGCCTCCTCTCCTCTGGGGCCTGGGCTTCTGGGAAGACAAGTCAGGAGACCTGCTTACTGCATAACCTTGCACAAACTCCATCCCCTTTGTTTCCTCATCTGTAGAATGGGGGTGACCAACATGCCCCAAGACTTTTGAATTTCAGATGAGGGGTGCTGAAGGGCACCATAGAGCCCCCACACAATAACCACGAGTGAGGTCCTTCCTGAGGACTGTAGGGCTCACAGAGCATTTACAAAGTGGGCCTCATTCTTCTTGTCCTCAGCACACAGGAGGCCCCCCACCCAAGGGAGCCGAACCCCTGTCTTCCACTCCTTAATTCGGCCCAACCTGCCCAAGACGACTCTGTGGGTCTTCCGCTAACCCGGAGTATCCCTGGGGGTCTAACCCGGCCCCCTCCTCTTCTGCCTCTCTTGCTGGGCGCTCTAGCCAGCTTCCGTGATCCAGTTTCCCCCTCAGCATCTCTATGCGAATTATTTTCTAGAGCTAGCCCTAACCCTGTGCTAATTTCTAATCTCCCATCATCCACCCGCCCTGGACATCTTGAGCCCATGTAAAATTCAACATGCCCCAGGTAGCATGCCTTCTCCCCCAGATCTCCCTACTTCTGAATTTCCTTAATACTCCTGGGGGCGGCTAGGGGGGTGCTACAGTGCACGGAGGCCTGGGCCTGGAGTCAGGAGGACTTGCCTTCCTGAGTTCAAATCCAGCCTCAGACACCTAGCTGGGTGACCCCGGGCAAGTCACTTCATCCTGTCTGCCTCAGTTTCCTCACCTGTAAAATGAGCTGGAGAAGGAAATGGCAAACCTGTCCAGTACCTCTGCTGAGGACACGCCATTTGGGGGTCACTGAGAGTCAGATGTGACTGAAAAACCACCAAACCATACCCCATCCTCCCAGTCACCCAGCATACCAACTGTGACGCCATCCTCGCGCACCCCCCATCTCCGACCTTTTGCTAGATCCTGTCCTTTCACCCCGGCGTCTCTCTGGTCCAGCTGCTTCTGCCCTCCGGCAACTGCCCCCGGTGCAGCCCCTTCCTCAGCACCCCTCCTCTGGACTGATGAAACCGCCTCTTCCCCCTGCCGAGGGTGACGTTTGCCCTGGCCCTCTCCCACACCTGCCCCAGATGGAGCTCCCGGGGTCCCTGGCACCCCCGGATCAAAGGAAAGCCCTCACGCCCCATCTCCCGCCTCCTGCCCCGTGCCTGGAATGCTCCGGCCCCTCCCCTCCGTCTCTGAGTTCCTCTGGCTCTCCTCAAGGTTCGGCTCAAAGGCCACCTTCTTCTGCAGGGCAGGGGTCTTTTCCAGGCTCTCCCTCCCCCCGCTTCAGGTTACCCACATAGCTGCATGTCGTCTGCCCTCTTGGAACGGAAGCTCCTCGAGGGCAGGGCCTAGCCCCGGCTCCGCACGTAGATGCTTGATAAATGGGTGTTGACTGACTGATGGAACATGAAGAGAAGCAGAATACAGGAAGTGCAGCAGGGGAAGATCACGTACAGGGCGATGAGCCCAGCAGACAGGGCAAGAGCAGCGGTGTGTCATGAGATGAGGGGGGTCGGCCCCAAAGAAGCTCCGGGGACGGGCACCTCGCTCCGTCCTTTTAGGAGCGGGGGACGACAGGGTTGGGACGTTGTGTACACAGTAACACTGGGCCTGGCTGACGGGGGAAGACATTTCCTTTAAATAAAGAAAAAGACAAATGTCCAGTCATATCCCACTGGGGGTTTTCTTGGCAGAGACGCTGGACTGGTTTGCCATGCTCTTCTCCAGTTCATTTTACAGATGAGGAAACTGAGGCAAACAAGTGACTTGCCCA